TATCCTAAATAAATATCCTAGTTGCGCTTATGGTGAATGTACATGATAATAATATTCTTATTTATCTCTATTTTTATGATCTCTTTAAAAAATTCTGAAATATTAATTGTTAAATTAGTTTCTTTCGTTTTGGTTACATGTATAATAAGATATATAATAATTACTCACTTAATGTAATAGTTTTATATTTAAAGGCATTAGCTATATTGATTGAAAATATTTATTGTTTGTATAAATTGAATGTTAATTTATATGATTTTGTATCTCTCACTTCTTTTTCTTTTTTTAACTCCACTACAACTATTGGTTATTTAGTGAGTTGACCAATATGTTTATTTTTGTGTAACTTTATCATAAAAACTTTTGTTATTGTTGGTTAAATAAATAAGAAAAATAAAATAAATCATGTGTCTGTGTGGCTACGACTAAAAAATGTCCAAAGTGTAGAGTTATTGAACATAATCAAAGTAAAAATTTCATGGATGGTTACAAGTGTATCAAAATACCATATAAATAATTTGTGTTAAAAATTGCAATAAGTAATAACATTCAATAATCATTCTGTTTTTATAAATTTAAATGAAATATTAATATTAGTCGAGTAATACTGCTGAATGCTAATATTTCTTTGCTATATTATATATTATATAATATATAAATAAATAATACTGTAAAACTGTATAGATTGTAAATTAATTCACTTTAAATAATAATAGAGAAAAAATATTAATACACTATTTGAAAAATTATTTTTTCTTTAGTTGGAAGATATTTTTTAATTAAATTTGAAATATATTATAAATATATTTTACATTTTTAGCTAGATCTTAGTCATTGTATATGATGGTTGAACCATATGTGATAAGTATAATTTTAAGATTTATCTTTTTCATAGAAGAGATCAAAACATTAAGTAAATAAATAACGCTTCATATTTTGATTTCAGATACACAATAGGCTATATACCATTTTTGTGTGCATGTTTTTTTACTTCAACGTTCATTTTTAAACCATTTATACTGGTTTTATATTATATCTGAAATAGATTTATGAGTGAACATATCTTATTGAATTCGTTCATCATCGCGTGATCATTTTGGCCAGGTTAGACACGTGACCTATTTTAGTAATTTACACAAGGAGCCTATTTTATTTTGGCATATTATATTATGTACTATCTATATCTAAGTTTCCCTTTTTTCTTCTTGCCCCCCTCTTTGTAAGATATCTGTCCTTGGGCCACCCACGCGTACTTAAGGTATGATTGGACGGAAATAGTACTAAAATGTTCTATCCATACCTCAAAATATATGCCAAGAATTCCAAAAATCAAATTAAAAAAATCGGTAACTACAGGTGATCTTATACGATCATGTCAACGTTTTTTTACTCATTATTACTTAATATTAAACTATTGTGACCAATTATATTTGATGTTGATATTACATTTCAGATTGATGCATTCATTTATCAAGATAAAGTATGAACAGCTTATTATTATCTAGTTTATATAATTATATACAAGGTGTAATGCATAAAAACAACTGAAAATTAAATCAACTAACTTATATAATTTTATTCCCAATGAAGATTTGAAAATTAATTTTGTATTTTATGATAAATAATAAATATATCGGAGAAAACAAATTATCAGTTATTTCTATAAAATTTTATACCATATATTCATTTTATAGGTATTTTATACCAAATATAGGGTAACTGGCAGTCCTTGTGACGTGTACTTTATTATTTAGGTCACATTGTATTTTTAAATTTATACATTTTAGAAATTATAAAAAGAAAATTACAAAAAAATCAAAAACATCTAAAAAATAATATGCGTTAAGTTTAAAAAATGTAATTGATAGTGATTACATATTTTCACAGTAAAAATCGAAGTACACTCTCTGCTATATAGTAGTTATCGAGTGAACCTCGTCGTTGAGTAGACTCTGCAATGAATGTGTTAAATTTGAATTCAATTATCAATTATTGAATTCAAAAAACGATTGTGAGTAGATTAGTCAGCTTATATTACCTGGTACTTGACTTTGCACGTACTGAAGATTTTCAGCTCGTTCCGGTTAACTTATTTTTTTACAGCCTGGATCGACCAGTGTACTGTTATTAGTAAGCTCGATCAGAGTAGATTCGTAGTTTTTTGAAATATTTTGTTCTAGTCTGGATAATTTTTTTAATTGCTTAAATACTTTTAGTTTTCATGTAAGTATTTAAACACTGTTTTCCATTATTTTTTTTTAAAATCAGGAACACTAAATAAATTATACATAAATAATACAAATATAAAACATACTTTTCAATATTTACTTCAATAAAAAACATTTTTAACATTTTTTTTTTTAAAATCAATGTTGTGATATAGGTTTTTCAGAACTTAAATTTTAGGTATTTTAAGTACCTACTATTAAAAAATTACTAGAAGAATAAAAATCATATGTTCGGATTATAATACTTAAATTAAATTAAAATAACATACCAAAATAGTTATAGTATTAAAAAGAAATATTAATTATTTTTCAATAATATTATTAAATTTTTAACCATAATGGATCAAGTCTGGTCTTAATCTGTAATTCAATATATTGTTTAAAAAACCCTCTTTTAAAGTTTTCAATTTTTTACATACAATTTGAGTACGACTAGGATCTGATTATCAAATAAAAGGTCCAGGCTAGCCTGAATTTAAGAAAAGTCTGGACCGATTTGGCTCGTAAACTAGACAAAAAAAAGGTTTTGACTGTCCAGGTAAGTCTTTACTAGGTACACTTATATTGGGTATATTTTATTATCTAAATCTAAATTTTATTAAATTAATATATAAAGCTGTAAAGGTACTTTTTGTGCAGAGTAACCTCAAAAATTATAGGTAATATTTTAATTAAAGTAACCTATATCAGAAAATTTCTTAAGACTCGAAAGGTTGCTATAAGATTGCTCACGAAAATCGTGTATTTTTTTTTTTTGTATATGTGTTTGGGTGCTATTAGTTATAGAAAATAAAATGATCAAGTCGAAAAAAATTTTAAAATAGATTAATTTTATTCAAGTGAAGCAGGTAATATAATTGGTACATATTTATATTGTTGTTAAAGTAATTTATTTTACTATTAGTAATATAGCAAGTTGAGATATTTTTTTTCAAAAATATTGTATTTATTGTATTATTTATAAGTATATAATTATTATTATAATACTTTTAATAGTATATATTTATTTTTATATTTGTTACTAACATTTAATTTTATACCGACTTTAACCATAGGCGTGAATAGGTTCGTACAGATATAAATAGGCAATAGCTTAAAATGTTGTCACCACACTATTTGTTTTCTCTCTCTTACTTATACGTAATATATACCAAACGAATTGACGTAAAATACTTATTTTTTATTTTTGAGTTCCTATTCTTAGGGTAAAAATCATCTATCACAAAATATATGGATAATAATTTTTTTAAAGTATAACATATTGATGTACCTGTATACTTTCTTAAAGCAATTCAATATCCCTTTAAATATACAACATTATTTTTTTTGAGTTAAATAATAATTAACTGTAAAATCAATACGTAAATATTATTTTTTATAATTTTCAAAATATGTTATTTTACTTTGAGATTACTTAAAAATCATAAAAGTCGGATTAACGTGAATGTGAATGCGTTTTTTTTGCATGTGACATGTTGCACGCGGGTCTGAAAGAGAAAACAAAATAAATTGCACTAAAATCTTTTTAAAATTAATTTAAATATTTTTAAAATATCATTGAATACAGTAACAAACTAAAATATAATAATATAAATAAATTATTGTTTTTCCCAATGATATATTTACTAAATACTTATTGGAAATTTTACGTTCCTTCCATAAATGTTCTAATAAGATCCATTTTGTTACCAGAAAATTCATGCAAAGTAGAAATTCAAAGCATTTTTACTGAACAAAAATGTAATATCTGTTAGGTCGGGTAATAATAAAAAGTAGAAAACACAACAATGAAAAATATTTATATGTTGTTCCAGTTAGAGTATAAAATGTAATGAATTAAGTATAAATTATCATCTATAAATTTTAATTTAATTAGAAAATAATTATTAAAAATATTTTAATTTTATTATTTATAAATGTAATATGGAGAAAATGTTAGTATGTAATGTACAATTTGAATCATTGACACACGGTTACTATATATTATTAGGCATATGATTAAATTACAAAAATATTAAGGCAATCAATAAAATTGGTATCTTTAAAAATATATCATTTTACATATTTTTGTATTAAAACATATTATTTGTTTGCATAATTGAATATCCCATATGCAATTAATATTATTGAAATTCGAACAACTTTTAAAAATTTATTCTAGTTTATTATGTAGTTTAAATAATATGTAAAGCAGCATGATAAATTTTAAGTAAAATAACTGTACCAATAATTCATATTTTCTAAATTAACATTTGAGCATTTACTTTATTTAAAAAATAACCTATTACCTATACATTTGAACGAACAGCGTAAGTATAATGTTAAAACGAAGGTAGATGATTATGGTTTTTACACCGCACTAATATTAGAACAAAACAAAAGAAACGCGTGTGTGTATCAATTAAAAGTTTAAAATTTAGATACACTAAGTTTTAAAATAATATTTTAATGATTATATGCCAAGTACCGTGTTTTTCGCCCACGCATTATTTATGTGTTTAAATGGAATATTAGTGTCTCTTTAAGTACAAAAATGTTGATGATCATTTTATAAATATAATTTTTTAAGCATTAGTAACAATACAATTTTTTTCTATTTTTATTGGCAATAGTATACGTATGTACTCAAAACCCAATGTAATTTTAATAATATTTGTATTTACTATTTATATGTATATTTTTTATCCTGAAATTATACTATTGTAGATCAAGGGGATACTGAATATTCTTGCGTAGGAGTGTCTTAAAGGGCGGAGCAAATGTGCCGTGTGCAATACTGTAGTAGGGATAAAAGCAGTAGAACACTTAGATTAAAGTTCGAGAACATTTACAAAACCGAAGCTGCACACGACTGTAGTACATTTTCCGTTAACTAAGGTGAGCAAAGATTTTAATATTATATTCTATACAATAATTTAATAATGTAATTAATAAAATAAAAATAACAATATTATTGAATTAAATATTAATGTAAATCGTGTAATACAAATATTTTCAAATTTTTTCGAATATTTTTGACTTTATTTTAATTTTTTTATCATGTGAAATCCGTTATAAATTGTATTTAAATTAAATGCCAGTTTATAATTAGTGATTTTACTCGGAGTATATCACAGTTATCTAACAATTGATATATTCAAATGTAATTTCAATTAAAAATTGTCAGATTTTTCTGATAGGTACACATTATATACCTGGTAAACCTATAGATTGGCTGAAAATACATTTTTTTATTTATAATAATTTATTATTTATTGACAATAACACATAAAAAAACATTGAATATTTACTATAGATATTTTTTATATTTAATTTGTATTCAATCTACAATTATTTTGTCTAACTAATAACAGTTTATAAATTCTAATTTATAATGTACTGCAATATTTTATATACGTGGCTTTTTAAACCAAATTACTTAGGTAACCGAAAGTCTATTTTATTTATAAGTTTTTGTGTAAACATATTAATTTAAAAAATATTAACTTACGAATTGTGAATAATCGTTGTGTTTACATGAACCAATAAAGATATTGCTAACAATGAAATCTGTATGTATATTACAGTATATATAATAATTTAATATTTTTTATTGTACTGTGATATACTGTATAGTACCTATGTAATGTGTGTGACAACACTCCCTATGTGTGTACCTGTGTAAAAATACAATACGCGTATACAATAGTGTAGTACGTGTAATATGTATTATGCCGGGTTCTTCTACATTATATTGTTTTTCTAAATAGTCATACAAAATAAATTATTCAATAATTGTCCAACTCACGATTACGAGCACAATTTTATTCTAAAAATGGAGTGCATTCATATTCGGAGGTCATTAGATTCTTTCATGTTATTTTTATCCTTTTATGGGCAAGTGATTGTAAATGGAATTATAAACTTTCAACGGTTCATATTATATTGAAATTATATTCAACTTATAATTATTTAAGTATACATTCCTTATACATTTATTCAACTTCTATAGATTTTTGGTATTAACAAATGTTAATTCTATTTAATATACTTAATTTATTTTCATAAAATTATACAATAATTCTGAATTTATTTTATATAATTTTATTCATATAAATATTATATACGTTTTAAGCTTAATGTCTTATTTAATTCGACAATTCATAACTTTTCTCTTTTTTTCCTATATTTGAAATAAAAAAAAATAAAAAAATTAGGTCAATGTGTCCAGGATTGAATAATGGCTCATAGCCAATCTTACTTGTCAAGTATCGCCAAATGCTATTAATATATAATTAAGTATTATATACGTATATTGTATTGTGTCATTTAACTTATATATACATGTATATATCTTTTCGCTATTGGTCCTCGATCTATCGGTGAATATCTTATAGTCTATATTGAGCTGACATTTAAAATTCCTAATAATTTATTTACTATATTATAGTACTTATAGACTATATATAATATTACTATACTGGTGATCAATTTACTGATATGAAAAATCACACACGCTATGTAATATCTAAAGTATGTATTTTATGATTCTCAATTTAAATATAATTTCACACATGAAAGCATTACTATGAGTAACTTTTTACTCCAGATCATATGTGAAAATTAACAACTAATAAAAACGTATGCTCATTATGCAAAAGAAAAAAACATACTTTATCATAAATCTTACATTACAATTAAAATAACAAATAGAAACATTTCAATATAACTGATGGCAGATTTATTTTTCAGTTTTTATTACGATTATTATTTTTTTATTTATTTAAGTGAGATTTTTTTTTTTTTTTTTGAATGAGGTTTGTTTTACCGGTAAAAATGTATTATCAGTTATTTTTATTCACAGGAAGTTTTGTTGAATGGGTACTTGAATTTATTTATAAATTTTAATAAAACAATATAAAATGATGGATTGCCATGTAAATTTTAAATATCCAAAAATCGTCTAACATTTATATTTTAATATTTACTTTATTGATTACAAACAAAAGACGCTCTTCAAATAAATGCACAAAACCATTAGATTTTTTACTATACTTAAGTTGGGTTAATAAGTGAATTTTTTATGCGTTAACATTATTATTATAATTTATGCATTAATATTTTTAATATTGAATACATTTTCAATTTAATTTCAGTTTTATTTGTAAAATCGTCCAAATCAACTTTAAAAATGCCTTTCGTCGCAATTGAACACCCAAAATGCGTAAAATGCACTAAATCAGTATATGCCGCCGAAGAGCGAATTGCTGGAGGCTATAAATGGCATAAAATGTGCTTCAAATGCGGTAAGTATTAAATAATTTAAGCGTTTGTTTTCTATTCGTATAATCTTAATGAAATTGTATAGAATTATGTGGCAAGTTTTTGGACTCCACAAACTGCGCAGAGCACGACAAAGAGCTGTACTGTAAAAACTGTCACGGAAGAAAATACGGACCAAAAGGATACGGTTTTGGTGGTGGTGCTGGATGCCTGAGTACAGACAATGGTGAACATCTCAGCAACGTGTAAGCAAAAAATATGTCCAAATTAATTAATTTTAATATTTATACATTTTACTAATTAAGTAATTATAATCACAATGATTTTTTTTCGTGAAATCAAGATCCATTTAATGAGTAATAATAGAATAATTTTTATCATTCATAACTAAATATAAGTATTAAAAATAATACTTAAATACATAGGTACCTACCTATTTTTAAAAGATAATACAAATCGTAAAAAAGTTTATAATTATAGATTAATTAGGTATTGCATTAATATGTATGTATCATATTGGTACTACTTTTATTAGATACTTTAATTAATCGTAAATCATCATATAGTATAATATCGTATTTCTTAATTTTTTACTATTAATAATATAATAGAACGATACAAAAATAATTAATATTTAAATACCTATATTAACGCCCCCATCAAAGTTTTCTTTGTTAGATAGAGTTTTCCTATGAGCATGTTTCAAATATATAATAATAAGTGTGTTTTTTTTAACAGCCTTTAATGGAGAAACAACCCAATTAAATACCTGACCATCCGAAGGACCTACCCATCAACCTATATTTATTTTTGCATGCAAGAGTAAAACCTTTTTAATATTTGCTTATACATATAAATTCACCTCTCATTTCTGTTCGTTTTAGAAGATATTTTTTTAATAATTTTATGTTAAGTATCCAAGCTTGTACCTATTTACCATACACATTAGTCATATGTACAGTGAACAAGCACTATATTGTATAGAAATGTTTTGTTGATTTTTCATTAAATTAATAATATTATTTCCAACAATTGTTTTTATTTTTATTTTTTGTTTATCTGGCAGCTTAAGCGATGCTTTCGGCTAATCATAACAATTATTGATTTTATTACTTTCATGGTTTTAATTTTCATAAATATTATATTATATGCAATGATTGCTTTGAAAAATACATGATATAAAATGTATATATTAAAATAATATGTTATTGTCCGGAAATAATACCTAAAATTTATTCATTTTGAAACCTATTAATAACGCTATCGATATCAATTCTTAAGCATATAGTATTATAATTAAATTTTGATTGCAAATACCTAAAGCACGCTTAAGATACCATTTATAAAATTATTTATTTAGTTTTATCATGTTTGAAATGACAATGATTTTAAATCCTAAGCATAATATTACAAAACATATTGATGTAAAGAATCAATTTTAAGAGAGTTCATGGAATGCTATATTATTTCACTTCTAGAGTCCAAATGGCTTTAAATGGTGAGATTAAACTTTTTTAGTAACTTACCATACGTGAATATATTATATATCACGTAGGTGTTTGTAAATTAGAAAACTTGTGCTTATTAATAGTTTTGCTTTCACTAACGTATATACTCTAATTTGATTTGTATATTTATTTTATTTTAAATTTAATCTTTATAAGTCATACCTATATTTAACAAAAATACTTATAAAATAACAATAATATGGAGAGGTGAACTTTTATGATTTGTAAATATTATTTTTACTTTTGTACCTAAAAGGTACTAACAGTAATTAATTATTGTTTTGTTTTTTGTTTTACTTCAGCAAGCTGCAATTTTGGAATGGAGTCATTATAATATAATGATGATTTATGAAAAAAACATTTTTTCTTCTTATTATATTTCATCTTACAAAATAGCATCATAATATACCTAACTGTGACTTTATGGGGAAACTCCGTTTAATAATTAATGATAAATAACATAATCTTTTATACACTAAACATATTATACTCCTAAACTTACAAAAACACTATACTTTATACTTAACTATATAGTTTATAGATTTAATCCATTTAATAAAATCGAATTTATAGTAATAAATACCTACAATTTTGAAAAAAATATTCAGTTTTAATTCAAAAACATTGTTTTTCAGTATATTATGTATATAAAATAATGAATAAATTGAAAATATATTTATAATTTTTTTAAATTTATACCTATAAACGTATACATTATATATACCTAATAAATAATAATTATGATAATTTAAAATACAATTGCTAGTACAAAATTTTGTATACACGTGCAACATGTATTAATTATTAATATCTCATACATAAATTTTAAATTGAAAATAGTACTTTTAAATTTATACATTAATTTAAGAATTTCAAATATTCTCATTAATTAACTATAGTGTTAATCAAATTAAATATTTAATTTATTATATTAATATACCAAGAAAAATAATTTTATTTATTTATTGTAATTTTATAGTATTAATTAATTACTTTGATCCCTTGGATAATATTATTTTTGATAGTGTTTTATCTTTTAACTTTATGGAATTTGTCTATTTTATGCAAAACTATTTTAATAATGCCTATATTTAATGGTAAAAAATCACTAAAACTACTAATATACTTTATAATTATATCATTATTATCTACATATTTACATAATATATTCAATCTATGATTAATATTTATTAATTTAACAAAGAAAAATTTACTGTTTATTAAGTGTTCATAATAAATTACATTTTAGGTCTTATTATCATACTAAACCTCAAGGTGCCACGGAATCACGAAATATGGCTATGGCTCCTGAAGGTGAAGGATGTCCACGCTGCGGAGGATTTGTATATATGGCTGAGCAAATGTTAGCAAAAGGAAGAGTGAGTGTACCTAATTTATTCAACTTTAATCCCAAAACCACAATATTATTATTTCTATATAGGATATGTCATTTGATCGATATGGTATTCTAGGGATACCACAAAGAATGTTATCACTGTTTTTCTTGCAACAAAACTTTGAATTCAGTGTTACATTGTGATGGGCCTGATAATGAAGTATACTGTAGAGGTGAATGAGAACAAATATTTGTGTGAGAGTGCATAAATCTCAATTTGGTTTTTGAATTTTTGTTTAAATTCGGAAATTAATTTTAACATTGAGTTAATTCAAATGATGACATTTTCGAATTAAGTTAGGTTTGAATACATTTATTAGGTAGCTATACTTCTTAACAATACTTTACCGCCTTCGAGTTTCACCAAAATACCTAACCATATAATTTCAAGTACCTATTGCATGATATTCATTTATTAATTTAGTCTTGGCATCGAGAGTGTTTCAAGTGTGCTACTTGCACGAAACGTTTGGATTCAGTCAATTGTTGTGAAGGTTCTGATAAGAATATTTATTGCAAAGGTAAGGTAATCTGTGTATTCTGCATGTTCTAACTTTTAACATTAATTTTTTTAAATCAGTATGTTATGGCAAGAAATTTGGACCTAAGGGTTATGGCTATGGACAAGGAGCTGGAGCCCTTCAAAGCGATCCTGCTTATAATGGGTACGTTTATAATAATTGTATAGTTAGAATTAAAAAATACATTCATCTTTCCGCTATCAAAATTAAAAGAAAAAAACAAACAAATAAATAGTAAAACCCCTGTGCAATGTACATATTTAATTTTATTAAAAATTATAAAATCATAAATTTATATTATGTAAAATAGGTACATATAAGTATATTTTATACAAACAAATAATAATAATTATAATTTTATTACTAAGCCTGACGTTTTGTATTGGCTATAGAAATACTTATTCGTGAAAAACATGCTTATCTAATAAAATTATTATTAATACTTATTAGGTATGTCTATATTCATATTATCCTTTATAAATGTGTATTGCATAAGTTCTCTTGGAAGACTTAAGACTTGCATGAAATAAATCTTTTAATACAGCATCAGTTTTTTCGGATTTTTAAAAATATTTCTATGATTAATAATATAATATGTGGAATTATATTGTTGGAAAACATGTCTAGCTTAAATGGAATTGTATTGTAATCATATTATAAACAGTTGTAGAGGTTATAATTTTTTCGAGATTTTTTAATTCACCACTGAATTTCCCATAGAAGTTATTGGTTATTAGGTATACGTTCTATTGATATTTTCAAAAAATCGAAATTACTTTATGCATGTTATTTATTAATATTATAATACCTATTGTTTTTATTTTGCGTGGATTATTATTTTTATAGAATATTACGATTGACTTCTTTTGTTTTCATAAACCATATAATTTGATAATAATTGACCAAGTCCAGTATAATACTTACGATGTTTTTTCCATATAGTTTGCTATTCGAAGCGCTTCGGTCCCAGAGGTATAGGTCACAGTGGTGCTGGTGGACAGTCAATTGGTTTAACATGTGACTTAAACGACGAAACCGAAAGGTATTTAGTGATACCTAAAGGTCAACCGCCTATTTATTTTTCATAGCATGCAATTATCTGTTTCAATTCTCAATTCGTCTATATAAATCGTAAACGTACACACATTTTCTATATTTGTCATGAACTTATGTTAAATATAATTTAACTCTCAGTACCTATTTTTGTGTATATCATTACATTTTTTATGTTTCTTCTTCTTCTTCTTCTTCCTATTCTATATGTCATAAATGAAAAACTTTTTTTTCCATGTGCAGAGATGTTAGTACTTCTCGAGCTCCTGTTATTGATACAACTTCTATAAAGGCAAAGCCAGGAGAAGGGTGTCCACGTTGCGGAGGTGTGGTGTTTGCTGCTGAACAAGTGCTTGCTAAAGGAAGTGTAAGTAACAATTTTTGATATTATATTTGGGTAACTATATCAATAAATAAAGTTAAGTGTTTTGTACATAGTTAAATAATTTAGTTATTTTTCTAAAAATAGTTATATTATTAAATTTAACGTGAAAATAACTTTTTAAGTTTTAATATTATAACAAATTAAAATCATTGAATTGTATTTATAATAGATTACGTTATTGTATTTTTAAAGGAATGGCATAGAAAATGTTTCAAATGTAAGGATTGCAATAAAACATTGGATTCAATAATTGCTTGTGACGGACCTGATCATGATGTGTATTGTAAAACTTGCTATGGTAAAAAGTGGGGTCCGCATGGATATGGATTTGCTTGCGGCTCAGGATTTCTTCAGACAGATGGCTTGACGTTAGTATAAATTATTATAATATTTTTGAATTGAAAAAAGTGTGGAATTTTAACGAATAAATATTGAAATGTATCGATTCATTTATTGTGTTTTAACTTTATACATTTTGACTGGATGAAAAAATATTATATATAAGTAACCGGATTAGCGTTTGGCTATATTATTTATTCACGATACCACTTATATATTATATCTCGTTGAACTATTAGTATCATAATATATATGTATAAACATTTTCTTACAGAGATGAGCAAATTGCGGGATCCCGACCATTTTATAATCCAGATACCACATCTATTAAAGCAGAAAAAGGAGAGGGTTGTCCAAGATGTGGTGGAAAAGTATTTGCCGCTGAACAACAATTGGCTAAAGGAGCAGTAAGTTTTTTCTATCATTAGTATGTATATTGTATGCACTTGAAAATTAATAATACAAGTAAATTTTAAATCAAAATATTGGTATAAATGGTATAATAGCTATTATTATGCGTTTTATCTCAATACTTTTACTGGAAAATACTATTTCATGACAATATATTAAGTATATAGGTACATAATTTAAGTCACATTATACTCTTTTAATTTTAAAATCCTTAAAATTTTTAACAGATGTGGCATAAAATTTGCTTTAACTGCGCTACTTGCCACCGGCCATTAGACTCTACATTGGCTTGTGATGGACCGGACAAAGAAGTTTACTGCCGATCATGCTATGGAAAATACTTTGGACCCAAAGGATTTGGATATGGACACTCTCCAACTTTGGTCTCTACCAAAGGAGAATCTACAATGTTGTTGTAAGTACCTACTATCAAAAATAAATAGATTGTTATACAAATTAACAACTTTACAAAATACCTAGGTACATTAAATATTTCAATACAAATATGAATTATTTTTTAAGCATATTGAAATATTTTATACACTACAACAAATTACATCATTGGGGTGTTACTACAGTTACAGTACATAATAATCTTACCATAGGCCATACTATTATGATTAGCTCGATTTTGCTTTGTTTAAATAATAGTCTTTAAAGATAGTCATAACTCATAATGTATTTCAAATTATAAAGTGTAAAATAATGTGTTATTAGATAGGTACTTCAAGCATTAAATACAAAAAACTGTCTAAACACTCTATAGATCTTTGTATTATATTATTAAATTAAAATTTAAAATTTAAAACGTTAATTAATATTATGTATGAATATTAAAAAAAAATAGTATTGAGATTTATTTTATTATATTATACATATAATCGCAGTTTAAGGTATTATAATGTAATAATAATAAAAAAAAAAATATGATAATGAAAAAAAAATAAAAAAAATTTAATATAATATAATATTAACAACACAGTGATCATATTAAATTAATCTATTTAATTTATTTTATGAATTAAAATGTTCTTCGAATTAACCAAGTAACTATAGGTATATTATTAATTTCATATTAAAGTCTAAAATTAAATTTTATTTGAAAAATACGAGTACTAAAATATATTTTTAGAAATTTATATAGATGTTATAAAATGGGGAACTTATTTTATTATTTCATGTTATTATTTTTTTTTTTTTTTAGCTCGGAAGCAAGACCAACATCTGGAATTAAGAGCAGAAATGGAAATGGTTGTTTGAGGTGTGGATATGAAGTTTATGCCGCTGAGCAAATGATAAGTAAAAATAAGGTAATGACATTTTACAATTTTATTACTTAATAAAAATATTTAAGTCACCATATAAATAAATACATTTTTTTAATGTTATTAAAGTAAAATATGACTAAAATATCTATAAATCTGTTTCGAAGTTTATTTGTATATTTAACAATTATATTATATTGTTAATTTTTAGTATTAAAAATGAAACATGTGGTTTGGCGGTTAGTAATACTAATACATTAGGTAGTATGTGTATATTATTACATAATATATATATTGCGTTGTTCGAATGAAGACAAAATATAATCACCTATTTCATCGTATATTCTCATTTATTTTTGTAAATGAAAGATCTATCTATACACGATTTATTTATGGATCTTAATCAAATTATGTTTTATTTTATTCACCGTGATACACTAGAATGTTGAAAAAATGTCTAAAAAACATAGATTCAATAATAAATAGCACTGATAAATAAAATACAACATTATAATAATAAATTATTTGAATTGATTTTCAGCTATGGCACAAACGATGCTTTACTTGCGCTGATTGCAGCAAGTCATTAGATTCAACAAGTTTGAATGATGGTCCTGATGGCGAAATTCATTGCAGACCTTGTTATGCTAAGAACTTTGGGCCAAAAGGTTGTGGCTTCGGTTTGGGCGCTGGTGTTCTTTCTATGGCATAAATGATTACTGTGAAATTAATGCAAATCAAAGGCGAAAGAATATAACTTTTAAACAAACTTTATTTGAACGTTTGTTTCATGCTTTTTTCTTGTAATATCTACCTAAAATACACTAATTATTTTAATAAACATTAAAAAACTTATAATTTATATAATATTGTTTTAATTTTTAATTTTTTATGTATTCAAAAACCTGTATACTTTTTATATTTGCAAAGCTTTATCAAAGTCATTTTATATACTTAATAGTGCATACAATTTACAAATAATTACTTTTGGATTCTCGAAACAAATAACATTAATATTAAGATTATTTTATATTCGTAATTTCTGTGAATATTGTGCATATAAATTGCAACGTAATTATACCAACAATATATTCACATTATATCAAAGACCCAAAGTACAATGAATTCAAATAATACTGAACTTTGGTGTGCTAAATATTATTAAAAATGTTTAAAATAAACTGTGAAAATATAATATTAAACTTAACCAGTGCATTAAATATATATTTTAATATATTATTAGATACTTATGCAGAAACTATATGAAGCTATGAATTGTCCATATATTGTTATATGATATTAATGTATGGCATAATTTACTATTATAGAGTTGAATTTGAATACATATTGTAACATTTACATGAGCATTTCTTAAACTTTTTTATCCGTGGAACTCTTTTTGATATACACTTTTATCGTAGAATCCCTACTTTTTACCTTTTTTTTAGGGCTATTTGCAATACAAATTATAATAATTATACTATAGATTATATTGAATACATTATTATTTAATATACAAACATTTTTCTCCACTAGCCACTACTAATGTTTAGTTAAATATTTTAAAGTAATTTTTTTGAAAATTTTGAAACAAATTACTTAAGCTTACGGAACCCTGAAGTGATCTCCGCTGAACCCTAGGGTTCCACGGAACACAGTTTAAGAAACGTTGATTTACATAAATGATATTAATAACTGAACAATATAAACACGAAACTTAATAAAGACCGCTTAGATAAACTTGTCCTACTATCCAATAGCGTCAATTGATTGTGTTTTTATTATTATTTATTGTAAAAAATACTCCGATTCCAATATAATATTATTCTAATAAAAATATAGATAATGAGATCATCATTGTGATCACTGGTCTCCAATATACAATTATAATTTTTAATGAATTCTATGTATACATATTACATATATACATATATAATACATGCATATATAAATACATATTACATGTATAATTCACGAATTTTATATGCTTATTATAGAATGTGCGTTACTTATTTACAGTTTAATGACACTCACGCATAAATGCACACATTTTGCTATAAATCAAAGTGAACATGTTGTTATTTGTAAACGATTAGTTAATTTATAATTTTTACAAATAGCGCACAGGTTATTTTTAACTAACATTGAAAACTAATAGATGTTATATTATAATTAATGTAGATAAATAATGGTTAAAATAAAAAAATTGTGATAAAATAAAATTTTATCTTAAATGGAACTAATTAATTAAATTATTTAATTGGTTTTTATACGTACATCGAAAAGTATATATTTGATTATACACTTGAATAAACCCATCATAATTATTTTTAACTAATGAATATTATATAATTTTAAATAATAATACAGTGACGTAGTTTCACGTGTAATTATACACATTATATAAAACGAATATATACACCATTTAGTTTTAACTATCGACAATATGACAACTTTACCCCTTTCTCCTTAACGTTTAATGTTATATTATAAGCAGTGATTACCAAAAATCTATATTATTATTGTTTTATATAATGCTAAATAAATGTTATTTATTTTTAGTTAAAATCGGTATTAAAATAAAAAATCGGGAAACTGAGTCTATTTTATACTTATAGTGTCCTACCATTGGTCGAATTTTAAAAGATAAGAATTAAACTAAACAAATAGGGAGTGTCTTCACTGGATGGCTTCTTCCCTCACGTTTTCATGTCAAATAAAATATTATATCACATATTCTTATTATGCCCAAGGGTACAGAATGTATACTTCTTGTTTAAAAAAAAAAAAAAAAAAAAAGAGTTAAATGATATATAATTATTTACAAAAAAACGATTCAGAGCGGAAGAGGTCCGTCAGCATGTATTTTAAATTAAATTTTTCATATTTTTAATTTAATAAAAAACTTTAAAATGTCTATAATATATATAAAATATAAATAATTTAAAAATAGTCTAAATATTTTGAAATTCTCATTGTGTAAATACTAAATAGGTAGTAAAAAATGATAATTTAACTAATATTTGAATGTTTCAGGCTTCTATAATATTTTTAAATAATAAAAAGTTAGAGGATAAATGGTATTGTATTCGTTTGAATATATCGTCAACATTTTAATTTCACATATTTATGTGATATTGTTTAAAACTTTACTTTAATTTTATTAATTGTTTGTAATAAAAACATTTAAGAAATGTTGTATCAAATTTTTAAACCTTAATTGTTAAAATTAAAAATGTTTTGGGTTTTTATTTTAAATTTCACAGTTTTCGTAATTTTAACGAATTAAAATAAAAAATTGAAGTTAATACATTTAGTTATAAATGTACAGCTGTGAATATTTATTTTTTAATTTTCGTAAAAAAAAACTTATGAGGAATCTTATATCACATTTTAGAACATTTTCACTCACAAATAAACAGGTTATCATACATAAATAGAATATAAGTCACGCAATAAAATTTCTCAATCTCGCATCACATTAATGACAATATTTAATATAAATATGTTATGGTTAATGAATAAAAACGGGTAATGTTCAAAATTCAAATTGTCCGGATACGAAATTTTAAATGTATAAATTATCAATTTTTGAACATTACTAATAATTTATTGTGGATAACGCACAGAGACAACAGAGTATTATACATATAATAATATTAATATTTTAGTTATTAGTCGTTACTTTTAGATAATGTACATATATATTATGTTATACTGATGGTTTGTATACTAACTATTTAGGATTCGATCAAGTAATTAATAATTAATGATAATAAAATAATACAGTTACAATAATATTATATTATAATATATATACTCATGAGGGATATTTATGGATATTTTCTTTATTCATATCATTCTCATATAATTCTTTTTTCTTCTGATCAAATTTACTTAAAATATTATTGAATAGAGATTATAAAAATGAAAAAATTATTTTAATAAAAAAAATTGATAATATGTAATTTTACTTAAATATTATTAATGCTAACAACTTAAAATGGATTCTGCTAAATGCAAATCTATTTTGATGTACGTTGTAAGACTGAGACTAAACATACGTGTTGACATTTTCTTCAGATAGTGTTACATGAAAAGTAGAATGTATTTAAAAGTATATAACGTGAATTAGTTAGTTGTATTGTATGAGCATTTAAAATTAATAAACTAATATAATATTAGATATTATTATCTAGGTATAAAATAAAATTTTTATTTTTATTGTTGATAGAATTATTATGATTTATTAAATACATAATGACTGAATGTTATAGGCTTACATAATTCATTTTTGAATAATTATTTACAATTTAAATATTTAGCTAAACATAATTTAAAATGTTTGAATTTGATTAATTGTTAAAAATTGTATAAAAGGATAACACTTTACAAAAACTCTTTAGTATACTAGATTATATTAAATTATATTTCAATACACATCATCAATTCAAATCAAACATGAATTTTAAATTTACTGTAGCCATGGCAATTGTCATTGCCGTGAGTTTGTCAGTAAGTATTGATATTTTATATTGTAATTTATGGCTGTATCGTGTAAGGTATCGTGTAAGTCATAAGTAAATCACGGATTTTTTATGCACTAAAATGTATCGAAATATGCTATATAATATGTAGTAAAAATCATGAAAATATGTAACAAATATGCAACCAATTTTTTTTTATTAATAGAAAATTAAAAAATTAAACAACTTATAATAATTAACTACTTAAATACTTAACGAAAGATTTTCGCTGTAATATGCAATACATTTTGAACTTTGTAAAAATTTGTAGTAACCATTTAATATATAGAAATATGCAAAAAAAATGTCACCATTAGATTTAAATTATTATGATTCGTGTAGATAACTGATAAAAATCGAAAAAAGTGAAAAGGAAAAAAATATGCGGTTGCATAGAAATTTGTGCTCATAAATTATAATTTGTGTTTTTTAAGCTAAAATAATTTTTAAGTAGAAAAAAATTCAGAAGTTTAAATTTTAATAAAATAGCTGGTATTTATATGGGTTTGATAATTTTATTGTATTTTAAAAATATTATTCATGGGAATTTAAAAACTTATAAAGTTATAACGTATACACACTATAACATTTTAAATACTATATTTTCGGAAATAATGATTCAATCTACTTTATTACTAGTAAAATGAATATTACTTTAATAGTAATGTTAAAATAAATAAATATTAATATATTAACCTATATCATAAGATATATTGAGTAATACAGGCTGATAGACTATGTTTGTTCAGAATTGTTTTTTATAGAAAATGATTAATTATTAAATTTAAATTTAACACGTCATATATACAGGAACTTATTAATGATGAGATGTATACAACACCTATGGTGTATAGCAGAATGGTTATTTACATTCATCTTTTTGTTGTTGTTGGGTTTTTCTGATTATTTTGATAAGTACTTAAGAGTTTTACTTTTGACTTCTCAAATAATCAACTAAATCATTTTTCTATACAGAAACAAATCATAAACTTGTGTGTAATAAAACTAATAATTATTTTGTAATTACTTATTTAGAATTTAAGACAAGTCCAAGCAGTTGATCCGCAAACGACTGCATCTATTACTACAGCTCCAACTACAACTCCAACTACTACTACACCTTCTTCCGGGAGTCAATGCCCAAGTTATCCTACCGGATCTGGAGCATCAACTCCGACAACAACTCCAACATCAACTCCAACATCAAATCCAACACCTCCATAATAATAATCTTAAATATTTTTAGTAGAAAATCTGGTATAAATCTATAGTTAATCTTATATATTTTCTGATGACTTCAACAAATGTACTTATTAAAAATGCAAATATAGTTGTATGCACGATTAGATGTACTAATAAATATATTGTATTATTGTAACACTATTCATAATAATTATAAAGACTTTCGAAAACTAAAATATTAAATTATTTTTATTCTTTTTGCTACAAATAAACTAGTTTTATCCAAATAAAAACACTGAAGCTGAAAATTATGGAACTTCAGATTTTATCGAAATACAAGATATCGTACGTAGATATTTAAATTTAATTTATCCAAATATCCTTTAATTATATGTATATTGTATTTATAAAGTAAATTTCAATACCTACTCCACTTTCAAAATTGAAATTTTTGATCGTAATTTATTAATTATAAATATTTTAAACATTATAGTATTATTTTGAAAAAATATTGGGAATTTTTAATTTTTACTTCTACATAAGTACAAACTAAATCTAATATATTATCATAAAGCATAATCCAAGTTAAACATCCATCATTCTATCAACTAGTTATTGCGTATACAAACGAAAAAAGAAATAAACAACATATACAGTAAAATCTATACATCTATCACATCATTCAGAATTAAAAATACGTAATAAAAAATATGTATTATTAATACATCACCATCGTTATGCTCAGAATCTAAAACTGCAACAAAAATTTTTAATAACTAAAATACCTAAAATTAAAACATTTAACAATTTTGATAGGAAATTTATTAGAGGGAAAAAATGTATCGCCTGTGGGCAATGGGATGATAATTTCCCACTTTGGTCGTTTTTAATTTATTTCTCTAATTTGAAATGTTATCAAATACATGTAATTGATACTGTCGTATACAGCAAAAAGTAACGATTTTTTTCAAACAAATGGGAAAAATATTACCTCTGACCACGCGGTGCTAAAATTTTTTTTCTTAGGTGGGAAATATATATCTCCTTGCCCTATAAAGGGTTAATACATTTTTCATACTAAAACTATTTTTAAGTATCAATTTGTTATTTCAATAGTCTTATTGTATTTAAATATTACGCTATAGGTTTTATAATTTTTATGTATATAACAGGTAATTGAAAGTAGAAGAAATTAAACTGGCAGTAATGGACCTAGATGATCTGTACCTAATGCTAAAAAAAGTATAAATGCTATCACAAAATGATTTACAGAAATGTAGATTAGTGCTGAAATTGGACCCCATTAACGAAATCAAAAAATAAACAATTTTTACAAATATGTATTTTTTACTAGTTAATTACAAATCATAATAGGGATTATTGTTATTCATAAATAAAAATACAATAAAAGTTACAGCTTAAAAATATGATAACACACTTTTCAATTAAAAAATAATATAGATATACAAATTCATACAGACTATAATGATAATTGATAACTGATAAGTACCATTTATGATGTTTGATCTTATAAACAAACATTAGTCCAATAATTCTTCTCGTATGGCTTCTGCAAGTAGTTTAATTCCCTAAAATAATAACGCTATTTTATACTTGATTAACTTGTATAACTAATAATACATTAAAACGATAATAATAAAACAATTATTATTAAAATATTTAAATAATTATAATCTTAGTACATAGATTATAGTTCTATGGTGGACATATTAGTGGACATGGTTTTACTATTTGTAATAAATATCGTCTAGAAGAAGTTACTAAATATAAAATAAAATATTGAAATATTGTAAAATATATTTTTTTTGTAAAAGAAAATACTTACCCGATCAACTTCTTCTGGTGACGCAATGGAATACGAAATTCGAATGTAGGGACTTGGTTTTTCAGTATTAGCTGATAACGCAAATCCAGGAGCTAAAATTATTAGTTTATCCAAACATCTAGTAGTGACTAATTGTTTGGCATCGTTCAGTCCAATTATTTTCAACCATAGAAACATGCCACCGTTTGGCTCGTGCCATTCAGCTAATCCTGTTTAAAGTAAATTATTTTTATTTACTAGGATAATTCATGATATGATAATACAAGTTAAGGTATAAAATATCTGTTTATTTACCAGTAAAATTTAATGGTTATTCCGTTTAATACAAATATTCATCTTATATAATAAAGGACAATTTTTTTATATTTATATATATCTTAAAAATATTATTGGTATTTATCGATTACAGATTATAGATTATATTTACATAAGCACGTATTATATATAATTATATTTTGTTGGTAAAATATACATGTATGTATAATTTATATTTATTGTGAGACAAATCTTAAGATTTTAATGATTTTATGATGAAAAATATAATCTTTTTAGAATAGTTATAATTTACATCATTAAATTAACGAATAAATAATAAATAAAGTAATACATATGAAGATAACTCAGTGTGTACTAAACTAACATAACTTCTGTATATCGAGTGATGTGGCAACAAATTTTTCACCCAAGTATCTACAGATTCTCAGGGTCACCTTTAACTATTATCCCATTCCACATAATCATTAATTAAATGTTGGTCTATTGAGAGCTAGTAATTTTTATAGACTAGGTTTCTAAAAAAATGTATAATTTTATGTATTATATAATTTCAGTCATAATTATCAATAAATGTTTTAATTATCTTTGCACTGTCTTTAAATTTTTTTTGCTTGCTCACTTGCATAATATTCTTCTTCTTTTGTTTCATTTAAATATTATTTACAGTTGTCATATAATTGATGATACATATTACTTTTATTATTATTTAGATTAATTAATTATCTATTCACTAGCTATTTCACTGAATTTATTTTTTATTTTTTTCACGATTATTACTTTAATATTATTACTTTCTTTATTTTGAACAGATACCAATTGACTACTCTAAAAATTGCTGGTGCTCCAAAACAATTAATCTAATAAATTAACAGAAATGGTAAAAAGCATGCATATTCCACTAAATTTCTTAATAAAATCATCATTTTTGACAATATTTATATTTTGAATTTTTTTTCCAATTTTCAAATACAATTTCAAGAGTAACTGTTTATTTGAATGGTTTCTTACCAGTAAGATGTTTATTAACTGCAGACTTCATATAATCCAACTTTTGCTTGTAAAAGTTTCTGACATACATACAATGAGAATTTAAACCGTCTTTACCCCAACGTGATAGAAGCATGTATAAAAGTACTTGCGATAATGATGATGTGTGAATTGATGATGTTTGAATATGTAGCTCTATTCTATGCAGTAATGTTTTGGGTCCGGTTAGGAAGCCCACGCGTAAACCAGAACTCATAAGTTTTGAAAAAGAATCGAATCGAAGTACACGACCTTCTGTATCCATCGATAAAAAACTAACTGGATTTTCCTAAAATGATATTCTAGTTAATTAACTAATTTATTATTAATTAAACTGAGAAATATTGATAGTTACCTTTTCAAAATGTAAGTAGTAATATGGATCGTCTTCAAGAATAAGCAAATTATATTCACAAGCTAATTTATAAATTTCACGTTTTCTATGTGTAGGTAATGTAGTTCCAGCAGGATTTGATGCAGTAGGGTTCAAATAAATTATCTATTTTTAACATTATGATTATTACATAATATTGGCGCTTATCTTACTTTAATATTCGACAAAGGTGTATTATTATTTTTAATTTAAATGTGAACAGTATTATATCTTTAAATAAAATAATTAAAAAAGTAGGTTTTTTAAACTGGTTTGTGATTTTCTAATTTTTACGTAAGTATTTATATGAATTAATAGTTTTCAATATCTAATTGATAGACCTAACATAACCTTATATGTATATTTGGAACAATTTTTGAAATACACATTATAAAGTTCTTTATTCTATTATTTCTATTAGAAATATTTTTATAGTACCTATAATTATATCCACTTAGAATATTAGGTTTTATATCATTTATTATAGTTAATTAAATAAAATTAATTTTAAAATATTCATCACTGCTTATCATACGATTTCTATAGCAAAAAATGTATCAAAAAAAAAATAAATAAATAGCATAACGTATGACAATGAGGAGAAGATATTGAAATATAAAAATCATTTTAGATAAATATCTAAGGGAGTTGACAAAATAAAATAGTGGTTAGCAAGTATAACGATCAAGGAACAATTCAACAATTCATCTTAGTATCTATTTATTACAATACGAGTATCGAATAATATATACATATAGTAAAAGTTTACTTTGGGCATTGCCATCATTTTTCTTTTTCTTTCAACTAAAACTTTTTCAATTTCTTCCACAATAACACCACAAGAATCTTGTATTATCGGTATTATATCAGCATCATATGGTTTAAACTGCAAACATATTATGTTAACCATAAGATTTCATGATAAAAACGAGATTATGAGTTTGGGTCATTTTATAAATTATTTTCAATATTGAATATTTAGATAGTTGTTACATAGATATTATAAACACAGACTATAGTATACTTTAGCATTTGAAATAATGCATTTTCAGTTTTTGGATATATCATATGTTATAATAATTAGAAATATAATATCGAAGCATAAATTTAAAAAGGTATTAAAGGTTTTACCAAATCAACAGCTCCCGTGTAAACAGGGTCAGGCATAATTACTGGGTCATTATAACGCATACACATGTCCACGACGTTGGACAATCCTTCTTGTGCACCAGACGTTACAATAATAGATCTATCATTCCAATTTTGAGGTCCGTGAAAACGTTCTTGTATTTCTTCTAATATATTTATTAGAGGCCGATATCTAATTAAAATATTTACATAGTTTATAAAAATATGATTTTTAAAAATTATATTCAAAATAGTTGGTTACTGTGGGTTTAGCCAAAAATTAATTGTTCTCAAAAGCACTTAAATTGCGTGCGAGTGTTTTGTTAGGTGCAACCAAACGGTGTTCTTAATCATTTTTATACTATGCAATACAACTATAAAGTTTTTTGTCACTAGTTCAGAATTAATGCTACTTTTGTTATATACATATTATACACTTATAGTTAGGGTACAGATATAATATTACTACAACTGTTGTAATATAAAAACATTGTTAAAAAATAAATCTAAATTAAGAAAACAATTATGTATATTTGTGTACATGCAACACTATAACAATTCTATAGTCAGTTGGCCAATAACAATTATGTATATACTATATATAAATCGACAATACTAGGTTAAGCTACAATAATATAGTTCTCTTTATAGTGAAGAATATTAATAAAGTGCTTTCTAGTGTAATTGTATGTTTTTTGTTTTATTTATATACGTCAAAATAATAAAATTGGCGTGTACGGTGTACGACAGTGTGACGATCAACTAATTACTCATTACTTTACGAAGTTTTATTATATGTGTGTGTGTTTTTACAAGGTAATAGTTTTTTTTTTTTATAGGAGAAGAGGGGAGGAATTTCAATCTACAGAACTATATTTATTTTACGAATGTGTTTTCCATTTTGTTACTTCAACCTTAGCATAATTTATGTGTTTATATATCGAGAAGATAGTAAATACATATTATATACGTTCGATTATTTTACTGTCTTATCAGACAAGTTTGTTTTTAGTGTTGTATACACAGTTATAGTGTACATTGTATAGATAAGCCTTTAAAATCTTTTGTGATTAATTTTAACATGAATTGATTGCAACTTTGATAACTTAATAGATAAAATTATAAATAATACAAAAAAATTGTCGGTGATGTTATATGGGACTATTACGATTTACGACCAATTCGTCTCTTAAACATCACCATCCATATAACATTCGTCGCGAAATAAGAACGTACCTTGTCGCTTAGTTGGCGGATCTGTTCTCCACTACAACCTTTTTATAGTTAAAGGTACCGCAGACGATTTTTTTCGTTTTTGTAAGCCAATCAACGTCAACCTGCGTACGACAAGCTTCTTTTATCCACCACCATATACATTTTTATTCCACAACGACAACGATTATAATATATTCTAACATTCAAAGACAATAGAATTTTGGGATTTGAGTTTTGAAATTATTTTACAATAATGCATACATATTGTATATACAGGTATTTTATAGTGAGATTAATCTTCCTCATATTTTTCTTTCTCCGACATGGTAACCACTTAGGTTAATATACCTCAATCGTGAATATAGTCACGTAAATAAAAAGATCCATATACTTTTAAACTTGGAAAAAATACGCATTAACATTTAAATAGTCAGCAAAATGTTATAAATAAATAAAAAAAAAAAAATTCATTGAAATTTAAAAAACAAAAATATTGCAATAACAATCAATATTTAGTTTTTTAGTAATTTATGACAATTTTATAAATTAAATAATTAAATATAGAATAATATATTTTCATTAAATTAAAAAAGTACAAAGTAATAATTATAATAATAACAATAACAATAGTAAAAAAATAAATAGATTGAGGAATTGGATATAACTGAATAAATCACGTTTATTTGTTTTGTCCAAAGATATTCCATCCATATGCAAAACCTAAGGAGTCATAATAACGGTAAGATTCTTTTTAACAGAATAATACTTAGAGGAACTCGAAAAAAAGCAAAATACCTAACACTTAAGATGAAGCCTAAGAACAAGACCCAGAAACTAACTAAACCTATTATTTTTTCCTATAAACCAAATTAATTAATGTTGTATAAACAATTAGAAAAATATTATATTATACACTAATGGTCTTGATGGTTGTTGCAGCTGAAGTGTATACCAACATTAAATAATAATAATAATAATAATAATAATAATAATACCAATAATATACTAATTTTAAAATTTTTTATTTATAACAAAACAAAATAAAAAATATTAAGTAAAGTAAAAATTTACAGGCAATGTGATATTTTATATAATAGATTGGAAAATTAATTTATGCATTTTCATTTTGAATTACTTATATTTCAGGTGGCTTATGGTTTAGTTCAAATGTTTAAATCTACGTGAACAAATATATTTCAATGACCTAAGTTTATATAAATAAGTATAAATTATGGTTAATGATAAATCTTGTAAAATCTTAATTTCTTACACCTTCACTAAACCAAAAAATATTACTAAAATCTAAATTTTTGAAACCATTTGAAAATCCATTTAACGGTTAATATTTATATATTTACAGTATTGTTCAACATAAACATAAATAATTTATCTCAAATATATAAATCTATATATACTTTTTTGTTTTGAAATTTTTAATTGGAAAGATAATATTTATATAAAAATGGTTATTCAATCAATTGTTGACCTTTAATATTATATATTTATAAGTTAAATCGAAAATTATAAAATTATATTGTATCAATTATAATTAATATTTCTAATATTACTTAAAAATTTTAAAAAACTTTATTTTTATCAAGTTGTATATTTTATATTTTATAGTTCTTTTACTATTAACGTATGAGTGTGTTACTGAGTGAGTAATATTATGTATAATTAACATGACCTTATTAATGTAAATTTTATATCTTTTTTCTTTTAAATTTCTTTATGTTTATTATCTCTGATAATAATATAATTAACAAAAATATAATATATGCATTATTGTTTATATTGAATTTAAATTTAAAATAAAAGTAACTATGATGAAACAATTGATAGTAAAATCAATAAATTAAGTTTTAGCTAATACAATATTGTTGATCTAGAGGTCACCTACATATTATTTAAATCATACGACTAGTAAATTTAATGGTATTGTTAGAGGTATCTAAAAAAGAACGTTTATCATAAGAACATTTTATCAACTCACTGTTTCATTCATCATTCATCATGAACAATCAGCTGCTAAACATATAAACGAACACTTAATAGCTATTTTGAATAAATGCACAAATATTTTAAATTTTGTTAGAGTTAATGACGTAAATAATAGCATTTTTAAAGTGATGTGTGAATAAATAGTTTAAACTTTAAAATTTCAAAAATGTATTATTACAAAATCATGTTTATTGTTTGTCACCAGTGTCGATCTGGCTTACTGCTACTCAACAATTGCGTATAGTACTTTGATATTTTTACAATATTCGGGCCTTAGTCAAGTATTAAATATACGATATTTTCAATTAAAAATGTTTAACGGCAACGATTAAAAATCGTATACATCGTTTTATATCGTATAATGGATATATTATATTGTAGCGTACCTACTTTCCGTCACTCAACAGTCGTGGATTTTAAATAATTGTGTACAGTCAATTTTAGTTAAAAATAATTTATTTTGATTAAACTTAAGTATTAAAGTTACTGTAAAGCAATATAATTTCATGATTGTTCTTAGAATCGATAACTTCTTACAATACAATGATAATAATATAAATACTAATAATTTGTCAATTAATTTAAGCTGTTTTATTTAGTTGATATTACTTATTTTCAAAATTGACAATTGTGTTATTAATATGAAACTTTTGTAGTTTATTACTTTTAATCGCTATTTATTTTTCAATATATGAAAAAATCTGTGATAAAATTATGTAAGTTATCACTTATAAGTTATAACGAATAGTGTACACGACTTGATTCAAAAATAATTCTCGCACACAATCAGGTTGTTATAAGTTTTTACCTTTTTATTATTTTCTAAACACAAATAAATAGTGTTGTTTTTAAAACTATCAATCTAATTAAATAATTTTTTATATCCAAATAATGTTAGGTAAATACCTATCTATTGTCTATTGTATTTATATTTAAAAATGTATTAGTAAACATATTTTTTTGTTGTTAGTCAATGAAATAATGTCTCAAGTAAATAATATTAATAATTTTAAAGAGTTTAGTTAGGTACTATCTAGAGCACTAAATTAACTAGTTAGTTTTATTTTTTAAGTTATTATCATTTAAACTTGTATATTAAGTGAATAACTAGGTTATTTATATTTCTAATAAATGAAAAAAAAAAACATACCCAACCGAAGGCAGATATTGCAAGGCATCAGATAGTTCTTTATCTTCAAGCTTAATAATTTCGCCATTAATTAGTTCCACGCTTACTTTCTTGAACGGAAATGTTAATACGTTTGGTACTCCTATACCAAATTTTATACAATTTGGTGGTAATTTTTCTAATAATTTTGCTGGAAAATATTCAATAAGTTAAAGTTATATCATATTTATATTTATTTTATGAAATAAAAAAATTAATTCAGTCAAAAATTGGTTTATCTAAAGAATTTACGGTTTTAATTTTTTTTTTATTTTATTCGATTTTTAAGAAAATTAATGGGGATTTTTTTACGTTTAACCTCTCAAAAGTATCAATTAGTAACCAGAAATCATCTTTTTAAGTTAAAATTTAAAGTATTTTTACTGCTTAAATGATGATGACAAAAAAGAAAAATGTACACATCACTATAAAATCAATATATTTAATGCACTACTAAGAATTTAAAACCGTCAATCTATCTTTAAACCATTACATCTAAAATACACACACTAATATTAATCACAATATTTTAATTACTAATTTCTCGAAGTTTTGATGGTTGGCGTTTAGAAGATTTTTCGTTAATGAAATATGAATAGTCAATTTTAAACGATATAGCACTATTTTGATTGCATGACAGTAGTGGTTCTTGAGGAGAATATCCAGGAATTATACAATCTACTGGACAACATTCCACAGATGCTGATTCTTTAGAGGACGAATATAGTTGATACTGTGCCATATTCTGTAGCAAAAAAAAATACAATAATTAAAATAAGCAAGTAATAATGATATTGTTTAACAACAATCGTTAGAAAAATATTAATATTCGAGTGTATAATTTAAAATTTTAGCATTCCAGTAAATTAATAATATTATTAATTTATATAAATATTAATTAGAGTAAAATACCAAATAAAAATATATTTTTGTGCATATTATCTATTATATTTTTTTTTTTTTTTTTTTTTTTTTTTTTTAATTGAAATCATATTATACAATGTATATTTATTATATTGCCTATTTCAAATAAAAAGAATATTAAAAAAAATATTTTACTCTAACTTATAGGTCATTAAATGAATTATCATTTTAAATTAAAAAACATCACGTGATTAATAGTGGCCATATGTACAAGTTAACACGTGCAAAATGCGCGTGAGTAATAAAACTATATAAACAGGTTAACATGTTATATATTTTAGTTATATCATTGATTATCAAAAATAGAATAAAAATTTAGATTGAAATATTTAAAAAAGAATTTATGTTTTTAAATAACATATAGAAATATATATAAGAATAAGATTAAATAACTACTTAAAATTTTTATATATTTTATAATATAGTCTTGCATTTATTTATATCATACAAAATATAAATAAAATAAATAGATATATTTTTTAAATGATAGTAAGAAATATTAAAGATTACCAGTAAGATAATTTAATATTTAAGTAAAATCTAAAATTAAAAAGTAATGTATGCTATTTACTCCTGCCTGTAATATCATAAATATCTTATTATGTTTAATGATATTTATCTGTACAATAATTTAAGTATCTACATTATTTTTTAAGGTATTAAAATTTAGAGAAAAGTAATTACCTTATTTTTTGCGTCTTTTATTTATTCCTTGTTAGTTATAGGTTTTTAATTATTTAAATTATCATTCATAATTGTTCTCATTTTTTTGGTATATCTTAAAAATCAAGAAAATACATTTTTTTAATTTTAAACTATAATTACTATTCGTTTCTACTGTAGATTTTTAACGTATCTAAATCAAAATTTGAATGATTGAGTTATTAAATCGTATATAGTCTATTTAATATTTATTACTACTATTTACTAAGAACAATGAGTTAATGATAATAAGTTTAAAATTATAAAACTATAATTTGAAAATTATATAAATTAAATTTTAATGATGAAAAATTTAAAGTTCTTATAATTAATATTTTTTGAATCTAAGAAAATTCAAAAAATAAATTATAACTAAAATCATTATTAAATTTATCATCAAAATGTTCAATTTTGTTATGCTGTGAAAAAAAAAATAAAGTTTTAGATTTTTTTTAAATAGTTACAGCAAATATCATTAAGAATATTTTTACAATTATAATTTTGAATTGCATCAAAACCCAAAAATTTTTTACTAAAAACAGTTTTATACCAGAAACCTCCCTCAGAATTGAATATATAAACATATTTATTTACTACTTTTAAAAACTACATAAAAAAAAAAAAAAAAAATAAAAATAGATCTCATATCTTTATAAAATTAATAGATACATTAATTACTCTGTTCAGAATCTAAAAGAAGTGTTGAGGTTATTTATTTTAGTGATAGTTTTCACCTCACTGCACTGCTTAATACATCTTTTAAGCAATACTGATTTAAAAATAAAATGCAATGAGTAATATTTAACGAAATAAAGTACTAACTGGATATAGTTGTAAAATAATATTTAAAAATTATAGACATAACTTACTTTACGATAGATCAATTATTAACACACAAATATTGTTTAGTTGTATTACTTAGTCATTAACGATCGATAATTAAAGTATATTATTTAAAATATTTTATTTTTGACGTATACATTGCTTTATTACATATAAATATTCTGTACTCACACAAACACATTATAAAACCTTATTCTGTAAGTTCTATGATTAGTATGATATAAAATAAGTACATATATATATAATATATAAGATCATTCACTTTAAAGCAAATCAGTGGTTGTAACCAAAAATCAATTTTTACGAAATTTATTAGTCTATCATTATGTTTTGGAACAATTTTGATATAACTTTGATATATTTTTTTTATACTAAAATTAATATGACTTTGAGTGGTTACTTGAAAAAATTATTTGGTGGCCATATGGCTTATATTATGATTGTTTAATTATATTATAAGATTACGTATTTTTATTTAATGAGATTCACATGTTTGAAAATTAAAAGAAGTCTTAAACGATAAATTTGGTTTTTTTTTAAATTTAGTCACTTAATATAGATTTTATCAAAATCAGTCAATAGTCAGTATCTGTGTCTTGGTAAGGATATAGATTATAGAAGTATATTTTTAAAGTAAAATAGTTGGTAAATTTTTTAGTTTGAGTGTGATTGTATAAATAGTGGACTTGAAGTTTACTCGACAAATTAGCAAATTAATTAGTTAATTTGATTTCCCCGCTTAGTTTTTGCGATCTTCGTGCGAAGAGGTTTGTCTTCTGCGAAATCACAAGTAATAGAATGATTAATATTTGGTTGATTCGAGATTTCATATAAATTGAGTAAAATAAAAGCTACAATTAATCTTTGGAAAATAATAATAAAATACAACATTCTTTAGTCTAAACTACGAATTTTCCTAATTAATTTCATATAATAATGTTGATCTGAATAATTCGGCTACAAAATATATTCTGTTCACGTGATTTAATTGTTTATTTTTATTAAATTTTTATATTTATATGTTTGTAATTATCTATGTTGTAGTATTATATAAATAACCAAGTAAAAGGCTTAGTAATATATTAATACACAATCTAATGTAATATTGCGTCAGATATTAATTATTATTATGTTATAATTTGTTAAATTGTTATCTAATTTACTTTATATTTTATTAGGTAGGTATATATTATTCATATCATATAAATACAATAAATTAAAATGTATTATTATTTTATAATTAGTTTGGATCAAAGAAAAAATTAATGGTTTTTGTATTTTCAGCAAACCAAAAATTACAATAATAATGATGTAATACGTTTGTTAATATGATTTATATAATGACATTTCCCTTAAATGATAAATTTAGTCACTTAATATAAATTTTCTCAAAATCAGTCAATAGTCAGTATCTGTGTCTTGGTAAGGATATAAATTATAGAAGTATATTTTTAAGGTAAAATAGTTGATACATTTTTTAGTTTGAGTGTGATTTTAAAATAATGGACTTGATGTTTACTCGAAAAATCAGCAAATTTATTGGTTTATTTGATTTCCCGCTTAGTTTTTGTGATCTTCGTGCGAAGAGGTTTGTCTTCTGTGAAATTACAAGTAATAGAATGATTAATATTTGGTTGATTTGAGATGTCATATAAATTGAGTAAAATAAGAGCTACAATTACTCTTTGGAAAATAATAATACAATATAATATTCTTTAGTCTCAACTACGAATTATTTTTGTTGGTTTTACATGATAATAAGATTTGCGTACAATATTGCTTTGGCATAATAATTATAATAATAACAATGAAAAAGGCAATGGTACCATTAGTGCCTAATGCTAATAGCCCTAATTGCACAGTGTTTATCGAAGACGCAGGCTTATCCTTTCAGATTGTTGATAATGAGACCAACTAAAGGCGTAAATAGATCCTAAAGTTACAAAGCTTCAGACCCAGGAATTTTATAGCGATTAGTGAATAAGTGAAAAACTAAGCGTCCAATTTCTCCTCTAGTTACGTCTATAGGACAATAGATATTATATTTGTATATGTATGAGTGTTTATAGATAAAAGAAAAAACTCGGGCTTTAAGGGTGGCCGTACTTGTGCTGTGGTCGATGGTCTTTGTTATTTCAACCACTCATCCTTGTTCCTCGAGCCTTAAATAGCTGTAGTGTTGGAGATAACCATAACAGAGTGATTAATAGTATTACTTCTCTTGAAATTATTGCAATTATTCCACGCAGTTTGCTAAGTAGTATTTATTGTGTGGTCGATACATTTTCTTATTTATTATTTAATTAGATTTCTACTGAAAACACTGAGCCTTACTGAGAAGAGTCGTGTAGTGTTAATTACAGTTTTGAGATAGTTTTGCTTGTATGATACAACCATTATTTTTGATTTCATAATCTGAAAATTTTATGTGAGTAAGTATTATATTTTATACCAAATGATGCATTTTTAAGCATAAATTATTATAAATTAATTTATAGAAAAGAAATTCAATTATGAACATGTTATAAGTAAGGGAACCCTGCCTACTATAATTAAATTTAAAATTCTAGTAAGTAAATAAATAAAACAATAATTGGTATTAATTTTTTTTAGAAAAATAAACTAGTACCATTATTTATGAGATTAAAATTCCTAAGTTAATTTGATTGGCCTATAAAATAAAAACAAAATCAACCACGTACACGTTAGAATTTCATATTAATCTTGTATTACATCTTTAATTAAAAAAAAAAAAAAAATAGGTTTTGACAATGACTTTTTAATGTTTTTCGTTAAAAAATAGTCAACCTATATAAAGAACGATTTAAATTACTTTAAATACAATACACAAATATATATATAATATTTGACAATACAATAATTTATTTTAAATCATAAATTTGGTTGATTTTAATTTATTTTTTCTATTATTGTTCAAATGTTGTTATTAAAATTATTCTATGGAACCTGAAAGTAAAGACGATTATTTTTTAATAATATCATATTGCTTCCGTAAATATAATTTCTAATTTATTGATAACATTGGTTCTTAAACAAAACATTTTCGAACCACGTTAACAAACAAGTAAATATATTATGTACTGTACATGATTTTATTTTATTATTCAAAGGTTAACAATAATTTCTCATTCATCTTTACAAAAACAATCAGAATTGATTTCTACGGGTAAATTATAAACTTTATAAGTACTATGAACTATTCAAAATGGTTTGTACAAATAAGCAATCATTTACACACATATTAATATTTAATTATTTAATATGACTAAAATATTACCATGATTATAACACTCAATAGAAACACAACAAATCGTATATATATAATTATACAAATTTATTATAAAATATAATTTAAAAATTATTTCATTACTAACATTTCACAATTTAAAAGTGACAACCCTTGTACAGTGAGAAAGCAACAGAAACTAAACAGTACAGTAAGTGATTACTGAAACGGTTTTTCATATTTTCTGATCAAAACGCGCCAGATAGTACCTATATTCATGAACATGATATGTACAAGGTATCTTATCATTTTATATGTATAAAAAACGATTTTTAATAATTATACGACAATATATTATTTTAATACAATCAAAATGAAAAACAAACTATATATTTGTGATACAAATCTAAACTGCATTTTTCTCGTCGTGAACACATTTAAGTTTTTCATGTACAAGACGTACATAATAATATTTTAATATATTATGTTTTATTAAAAAAAAAAAAAAAAAACTTAACAAATAAGAACGTTATTTATTCATAATTCATATTATATATGCCCTTTTGGTAGACAAAAAGATTTTTGTACAAATTAAAAATAGTTATTTTTTTCATTTAAAAAATGTTTCATGCAAATTAGGCATCTGCGTCATGTGAAAAGAATAATTTAAGAGTATTTGCTTGGATAATTTGAGACGACATTCATCAAAATCTTACAAATCATAATAAGCATAACATTAGTTAGCTTAAAAATGTTAGTTCATTTTTTTCGCAAACCTTAAATTTGTGTCTCAAAAAATACCCTGTACTCAACACAATAATATGTAACGTGTAAACTTCAAATAAGTTAATGTAAAAAAAATAACAAATGAAAATTAATAATAATATTTTTTTTTAAATATATTGAACCTATATCATATTATAGGTGATTAAGTAATGACACAAACATTAGGCCGCTTAAAATTAACTGGTTATAATATCATCTTTCATTCGGCCAGAGATAATATAATCCATCTATCTAAATTCGTTACGTCGAATGTACTAACATTGACACATATAATAACTCAATTTTAAATTTTAAAATGTAACACGCAGCTAATTAATATCATATATTCGGTTAGATCATTTTTATGGGATAAAGTACACTACGATAAAATTATTAATATACAATCAAACACGAGGTTTTACTTAACATTTATACAGAAATATATCTTATTGGGGAATATATCAATATTTGCTTTTCCTATTTTGAATGTAATTTAAACTAACTTATTACAGCATCATGCTGCCAGAAAAAAACCATATTTTATCTATCCAATATTTTCGTATGCTTCACGCCTCCATGTGTATAAACATACATTTTTTAGATAGAATTCGTCTGTATTTTGCATATGATTTAGTTTTTTAGGAGTGCGCATATATTTTAATAAATAAAGAGTAATACTTAAAATGTGTTGTATGTAATTATCTATTAAATAGCTAACATTTGTAACATTTATAACTATTTTACAATTTAATAAATAACGTAATTAGAATAATTTTTTTTATAGCTCAAAAAATCGAACTATAAGTTAAAAGGATAAAAATAAATAAATGTACGAGTATGTCTATTTTTCCCAGTAGGTCTTAATACTGTAGTTAAAAATCATCATTAAAATAAATATTGTAAAAAAATTATAAATAAAAAAAATAAGTGAATAAATATATAACATGTTTAGCTAAGTACATACTTAAACACATAATATAGATGTGTTTTAAAAGGATCTTTTTTAATATTGCTTCAAATTTTATATGGACACTGGAATTGGCTATTGTTTATTAATTGTTTGTTGTTCTACAGTCAATAGATTTGTTTTATTTGGAATTTGTATTCAATCTGTGTACTGGTAAGATTTGGAGATATCGCACTCAACTAAAATTAAATTACCGTACGAAATCATGTTGCATGAAAACGTTTCTGCAAATAAACACAGTATACAATCGAATTCTACCCAAATTTTTTCTAACGCGTTAATCGTTACTTAAACGATTATTTTGGTAAATCAAAAATATTTTACAGATTATACAAATATCACGGATCTCCAATACAGTTATATTATTATCACAAAAATATTAATACGTTTTTAACGGGGACAAACTCACAAACATAGCTTGATTTTCTATAATTAACATATATATTATATAGTATAGTATTCTATAAGACATAATAATAAATTATGCAAGTAACACACATAAGATACACACTCATATTCTTCTACATGATTATAGGTATTATACGACACACGGGCACTATTTGCTATTTGCATTTATACAGAATTCCCATGCGGATCCCGTTCAAGAACACGATTTCAAAATGTGTAAATAACCTTTGTACAAAATTTAATCATTACGGAGAATCATATATTATTATATTACTATTATCGTCCCGAGATGATTTATCGTGGAATGTGGTATGAATCTTTTAAGAGGGTGAGGTTCTGCGGGACCGCTAGATAATTAATTACGTTTCACGCCCAGATGACGATATTTTTTGCTATTTTAATAGCCCAACAATAGTAGGCAATGATAAAGACAGTGGCATTCAATCATAACGATAAACAGATTATTGGCGGTAATGGTGGCGTTTTAGACAAGTAACCGGAAAAACAACACGATATCGATAGAAAAAAGTCCGATAATAATTGAAGTTTATATCAATAAAAACACTTTGTTAACTCCACGTAAGAAAAAACTTAAAAATAATAGCCTTTAAAGGTTGTTAAAAAACAGAAACCAAATAAATTGTCTAGTTTGTTGAAATGTATTAATCCAAATTCAGTCAACTCAAGCGAAAATAAATACTAATTTGTAAATCGTTATATAACTATTAAATCAATATTCTTAACTCTAAGGGTATATCTTTCAGCCACACGTGAACTAAATCTAAATTGATATATTTCTACAGATAAAACAACCATTAACTTAGTTTCCAATTTATATCACATTTTTAAATTATTTCCTCGCCCAAAATACCGTGTACGGCAATACTGACGGAAGTGTTGTTTTTTTTTTTTTTTTGTTACAAGTATATAATAGATTGAACTTTTTAGCTATTATAAACTCTTTAACATAGATAAATATTATATTATATAAGCGCATCGACATTCAGTGAAGATGTGTGCTCGTATTTTGTATGTATAATATTATGTACGATCGTCGAATCAGACCGGTGGTGAGCTTATATACGCATTATTCGTTACGTATTGGAAGTTTAATGGTGATGTGATTGGGGAGGGAGGGAGGTTATATTATCGACGCCACCACTGCCAGCCAACGTGGAACGCAATGGCTACAATTATATCGAATGAAAAATGCAATAAATTTAAACATTTTTTTTTTTATATAACTAGGTATATTGCTACGTTATTCAACCAATCACATTGAATGTTTCATTAAAGGTATAAGTACGGTTATGCAACTTTACCGATCTATTAATATCTCACAGGAATAATCTCCGTTCGTTTTAGACCTCTAACCCTCATGAAATGTTATAAGACGTCACAATATTGGTTTCGGGAAACGAGTTGTTTCGTGCGCATAAAAGTCGCACTAGTCGTGATTGCTACGCCATTTTTTTTTTTTTTTTTACTTAGCTTCACGCCACTATTATCGTGGACCGAGGCTCTGAATGTCTGTAGGCATGTTTAATAGTAGGTAACCCTGATTTCATGTGTGTATAATATGTATACAGAATATGTTATACATATATTAAATAAGTATTGTAATATGTATACTTGCGCACAAGTATTTTATTCAATACACAATAATATGCCTACGTAAAAGTATACATACGACAATATTCTCGAACAACACGTATAATACGACACATATTTTAGCTTTAAACTAGAATAGTGTTTCTTTAGATGCGTCGTAAAGCGCGCGTAAAGACCCTGATAATGAGTTGGCGTTGACGATCGAGTCGGCTACGGGATTTACGTCCGCTTGGACAACGATCACGTTCCGACCGACTGCCGTTGGTTGCTGCGGCCTGCGGTTAACATCTTGGTACGATCTGACCGCAGACGCGGTGGCACCTCCAACTGTTGTAGTAGCCGCGTTGCAATCGCTGTCATACCGAAACATACCGTTACCGCGGTTAGTGGTCGATGGCGGTGAGTATCGCCTTCCACGAGACGCTGTAACCAAATTCGGGCGAATTAAACAAATAAAAAACAAAAATAATAATGTAAAAACTCAAATAGTTGACAAATGATAGTAAGTTTGACTTGCTAGTAGTCCAGAGTTGAAACCGATAAAAGTATGAAATTAACTTGGTTTCAAAAAGTTAATCAACCTTTTTAAATAATTAGAACAAGGATCGCATCACAAACATCGAATAAATGTTGCGTTCGAGTGGGGTTTGCATGTGACTTAAAAACTACTCGCTTAAATAACATAATATATAGGTTTAGTCACCATGAGATAAATCATAAAAAAAATATTGAAAAAAAATTGGTATACATCAATATAGCGTCGAATTTTGTATTTGTTCGTTTTTCCTCGAACGAACTCGGATTATACACCTATGTCCTATAGCCTTTGTAACGCTATAATGTTATTTTATGAAAAACGTACTCTACAGATATTATTAAAGTATTAGATTATTTTTGTTGAAAACTATCGTGTATATATAGCGCTTAGCGTGTGAAATCATCAAAAACCAAAGATGTGGAAAATTCTTTTAAATCGGTAGATTGCTTTTAAATCGACTATAGACTAAAAAATGCTAAGCAATTTCAACATTCGATCAAACCGGAAGTAAGTTGGTTGAAAAAAAAAAAATAAAAATGTCAAACTATAGTCAATGTCCCCCCACCTTTAGCCGGTTCGGCGATGATCAGTTGTGACGTTGACGAAGCGCCGTCGTCGCAATCGTTGTCGCGGGTCTGCGGCACTTGCGGCGGCGGTGTTGGCGACGACGTGGTCGCGCAGCAACACTCTTCGACGAACACGGACGAATTGACCGTGGTGGCGGTGGAAGCAGCGTCGTCACTGCAGCTGCTGCACGACGTCCGGATGCACGCGATGGGCGCCACCGTTGACGACGGCGACACCGTTTTCCGCGGTGGCTGCGGTGGTTTCCGGAACCGCTCGGACGCGGCGGGCAACAGCTGTTCGGTGTGCCTGGGCACGTCCGAGAAACTTTCCTGGCTTCCGCCGCTTGGTGACATGCACGGTGTTGGCTGGATCACCTACAGCGGCGCAATACAATAACGACACGAATATTATTATTCAACGCAGCACTGTTGTGCCACTGTGATGGCATATTTTTCACCCCTAAATCTTTATCCGGTACACGTACCATTAGTGTTATTGCTAGGGCTAGGATTTTACGCATCAAATAAACGATCCGAAAACACACCGCGGATATCTTGATATATGGCGCGTAGCGCGTTGTGTGCTACGATGACTTTGTTTCGGTTTAAAATTATGCTAAGGAAGTGTAATCCAAAATGATTGTAACCGTCTCCTTAGCGAATTTAATTGTAAATGTAAACAGTCGTCGGCGATCACTCACTATACTCGTATTCGTATGTAATCAACGTGACGTTACCATTTTACATGTTTAATGTTGTCTAACCACTAATATGTTAATGAACTTTTAATCCTCTACGAATGATAGATTGGGATTTATTAAAACTACGAGTACACAGTACAACAATGTACATTTATTTTACGGTCGATATGAAAATATACTATGAAAAAAATTCTGAAAACTTAAAAAAATTTAAAAAACTGTTAAAAATTTAAATTTAGCTATATAAAAAAAATATATCATTAAAATAATCGTCATGACACGGCTGAAACATATTTTAAACTTATGAAGCTACGTTCAAATCAAAATCCCAGCCCTAAAAATAGTTATTATTATTGATTTGTGCCAAAGTGAATAATAATAGTTTTGAGCCCAGTCGCAGTACTGTGTTCTGAGTTCTGACACGCTGAGGAGCTATTATAGGTAAAGTGTTTATAGGGGTAGAAGTTAATAGCGACACTCCTTCCAGAATATCGATCTTCTTACTCGATATATTATGCACGATATATAGGCAATAAAATATATAAATATATGTTGCTTATTATTTATTTATTTATTTCTTTTTTATATCATACTTTGTTGGAATATGTTTTCATACGATAAAAATTCATATTGTACATGCTATATGTATAGGTTATTTTAGTACCTACACTACAAAATCGTAATTTGAAAAAAAAAAAGTTTATTGTTTGGTATTTCTAAACAGAAGTCTCACTTATTGTGTTATGTATTACACTACCTTTACAAGAGAAATGCTAAATATACCATTGAATAATTCAAAATATTTTATATTTATAGAATATTTGCAAACAGATCTCAGACCCATTTACGACTTTTGGCAATCAATTTAACCTACTTTTAGCATTAAATCATTAAATTACACAACAGAAATTATGATATTTACTTATACATATTACATATGATTAATTGTAACTTGCAAGATTAAATTATTATGAGTGGAGAACCCGGGAATTAGCGGGAAATGCAGTTCAACTTATTATTGGTTTAAAATTACTTAAAACTTCAAGCACAAAAATATTTTTTAATTTTTAAAATCCTGTACATATAGATTAAAAGATTTTTAATGAATAAATATAATATATAATATAAAAATTAAAATTATATACATGCGCTTGCGCTATTTAAATTATATCACTCGGCACAGAAAAATATATAAATAAATTATGCATATTGTATCATGTAATGGTAAATAATTTGATCGTTCAAATAACATTGTTTACTTTAAAAGTTTAATCAACAGTTCATTATCTATTTATATTTATTAAAAATTGATAATTAATTTAGTCATTAACAAAAATTTAAAAATTTAAAGGAATACATTTATTTTAAATTACTAATTTAATTAAATATTTTATAATTCCATTTATGTATTGTTATATTCAGTGATAATGAATACAGATCGACGCTAGGTTATTCAATTTAACTGTTAAACTTTTTGAACAAACCTAATAAGCTAACTTAATACTTTTATTACTTTTGACTCCAAAATCCAGGCTATAAATAAGTAACCAGTTTTTATTGTGAGAAAATCAATCGAATTTAATGCAAATAAAATAACAAAATGATTTTTTTTTTTATTGTAAAATGTAGTGAAATATAATAATAGAATTTCTTCTCTCTTTTTAAAATCATAATATTATCATTACGTATTTACCCCTTTCCCTTCCAAAAGACAATTTTGGCCTGCAATGTTAAAACGTATTTTTATTCAGCTTAACATAAAAAAGGCAGAAGTTCCCTAGGCTAGTATATTTTATGTAATCCTATTTATGTCCATTATATTTTATGGTAACATTAATAAAAGAAGTAATTGGTTCAAAATAGTTTATAGGTAATATTTGATTATGATTAAAATAATAATATTATACGACATGTCAAAGTGATAGGGTACTCAATATTTTTCAATTGTAAATATTTGTAAGGTGCAAAAATATATGCATAGGTAATATATTATTTGCATTAAGAACGTAAGCAAATAACAAAAAGCAACGGAATTAAACTAAATATACGCTCTATTCAAGTCCTTACCAATAATATTTCAACGCAGTGACACTTTTACTTTAATCAAATTACGAATTTTAATATTACTAGTTTTTATTTACTTATAAGTTCATACTTGCATACCGTAAGATGGTGTGAATGGGTTTGTAATATAAATGAATTAAAATTTATCTAAATATTTTGAAAATTTGGTTGCAAATATAAATAATAATAATTTAAGCAATAATGGAAAGTTTCAAGTTTCAAGATTAATATTCTTTGAATAACAATAATAATTATAATAACAAAAATATAATTATACGTTTGAACACAAAATTTTATTAAAATTTAAATTTCAATCGCTTAAATAATCTGGAAATTTTTGTGATTTTAATGAATGTTTTTATGATTTTATTTTTAAAATAAATGTAGGTAGATACTAAATACTGGGATTTTCACTATCTAAAATTCCGAAAACCAATAAAATAAAATGTGAATAGATATAAATATATAATAAAAATAATAAATAAGACGCAATTAATCATAGTTCATTGGTGATTGCATGGTAGTCGGTAAGAACAATGTGTAATACATTATTAGTTATAACATTAAAGACGTTATTGTTTGTTCACTTATCTCGTGTATTAAAAACTTAATGAAATATCGTGTCATAAAAGGTGAATAAACTAATGGATATATTTTGAAACAAAATTAATTACTACTACAATATTAAATAATGAATATATAGATAAATACGAGTAAATCGCAATATTATATAAGCGCTGGACTATGATACTTTAGGTACACATATAAAATAAATACTATTAGATGTCTATTTATCAGTTTATGATTATAAACAAAAAATATATAATAATTATTAAACGCGAATTCATCATCGAATATATTTGGAGACTTAGTAATTTGACTAATGAAAACAAAAACTATTCGTCGCATTTCATCGATCGTACAATTAATTAATACATGCATACATTGTACACATATAAGAATTAAGTATAGTATAATAATTATTATGTAATTATTACTATTATTACTTAATGCATACAGGTTAGGTTAGGTTATATGGCCTATAGGTAGACGGATATTAAATAATTTTTTTTTTCATATAACGTGCATTAGTTAAGATAATATTATGTATAACCCATAGCAGTTTTTGGGATACAAGTATTTAGTATTTACTAACCTGTATGTCAATGGGATAATAAAACTCCCATGGCGGGTAGCCGGCAGGTGGTGGATGGTTCAATGGAGATGGTGGCTGTCCAATAATCAACGATGATCCTCTAGCTTCCAAGTAACTTGTATCGTTGCTACTGACCGTTATAGCACTATTTCCTCTTGGAATCCACTTTTGGTCACATGGTACTTCCAGCCATTTAGCTACACGGTAACCATGGTTACTACATACGTCCTCAATATCATCATTATCCATATTATCATCTTCATCCTAATTGTAATTAAAACACATGTATGAGCTATAATTTATTATTATCTTATTAATACAAAACGATTTTATATTGATAAATATCTACCACTAGCTACAATCAATAAATAAAACATGTACTTATACATAACTGTTTATATTAATTTTATTAAAATTCAAAATCAATAATCGTTTTTAATGTAAAATCTCAATGATTTCTTTAAAACTCAAGAGTAGTAATTAGGTTCGTCTAAACTCTAAAAACGAATGTCATATTTAATACTTAGTAGGTATACAGTTTTTATCGTAATTCAAGAATTTATTTATTTTTATTTTATTGTACATTTTTATTTATATACAATTGTAATTTGTTTGTATTTTGAAATTGGAATAAAAGATACAGAATAAAGTGAAAAATAATGCCAAGGCAAAAAAATATTCACGGAAAAAATTACTGTGAATGAATCAACTTAATTGCATAGGTAATTTACAAATTAATGAAGTAATTATGATAGTATTTGAGTATTGTTACTATAATAATTTAGTAGGTATAACTTATTTTTGACTTATATTATATTACATACATAAATTACACATTAAATGTGCAAAGTGGTTATTTTTTTAAATTATAAGTTACTATAACTTAAACTGAAATTTATCTTCAAGTTTAGTCTCCGTATTATAATATTATTAATAGGTACCTAGTTTTAATATAAATTAATAAAAAAAGCAAGTGTATACTGCTCCATTGTAACCTATTCTTGATGAGAAAAAGTTAGATTAGGTTATAAGTTTAAAGTAAAACTTTTTTTTCAATTTATACTGATAATATTTTTGTTTTTAAAACAAAAAAACTTATAAAATTAAAATTTTGAGAAATTTCGTTAAAATTATGAAAATATGCTAATTATTTTGTTAATAAAAATCATAAAGTAAATATTGTGTATTATTGTGTTTTTTTTATTGAAATTTTCAAAATATTTAGATTTATTTAAAATTATTTCATGAATAAAACTTATCCACATAATTTTACATTACGTCGGTTGGTAAAATTATTAAAAAAGTAAATTTAGTAACTAATTTATACAGCTGTACATAGTACACTGTACAGTGTAAATACAGCATGTGCCTATATTGTATATTTTTTACTACTACTACTAACTACATGGTACCTATGTACATTTATCATTTATTATAAAAATAAATTATTTATTTGTTCTATTGATGATGAATACGTTTCTGTGTGTATTATTATTTTTTATGATTGTGGTCTATGAATAATATCAATAAACAATAATATCACCTAAATGTTCACGAATTGCGAAGAAATTTCCTTTGATCAATCATCTGAATGCTACTGAATCAGTATAATTACTAATACTATATCATATAAAAGTGAAATTAATCAGAATATAATAATACTGCGCACACTTCAACTTTATGTTAAATCAATTAAAACTAATTAAGTAACATCAAATACAAACCATTTTACTTTATATACGTACATATACTAAACTACAAATTATGAATTATTGTATGCATTTTATTTATTTATCTATGTTTTTATAAAATTATATTTTATGGATGTTTTATGATTTTTCATACATGATTGAATTATAATAAAAGTTTGAATTGTGTATCGATATATGAATGTCAACATGGTGTTTTAAATTAATTAATGATGTATTGTCAGATTTTATAAAATTGGGTCACATTCAAGTTTTGTAATTATTGTAAATACTCAACTTCTAAAGCCATAGACTTAATATATTTCCTTAAAAATATACTTAGGTATTAACTGTAATATTATACAAATACTAGCTAATTTGTGTATAATAATTATTAATTAATTTATTTGTTGAATTTAATATTTTATAAATGTATTTGAATTTTTTTTCACGTCAAATCAATACTTATTAAATATCTTATGATGGTAAAGAATTTTTCGTTTTTATGTTCATTTTATTACAACTAATTTCTACAAAAGTGGGCAATGAAACTGTTATTTTTTGAGTTTTTCAATAATTAATTTTCCATTAAACTATTTATCGTTTAATACATAATTTAAATTAAAGTATTATTCGACAAACAAAAAATCAAAACCATAATAAAATAAAATGCATTAATAAGTAATATAATTATTAGAAATACAAAAATCATTAAAATGTCAATAATATCCATTAAACTAAAAATCTATTATATAACTTATAATATTTATTTGATATAATTATTTTTTCTGGAATCAAACGATTAAACATTGATCTAGAATCTTAAATCCTTATATTATACATTTGAACAACAAGGTGTCGAAAAAAATCCTTAAACAAGTTGTAAAAAAAATACGGTATTAAATTCAAATATGGAGTACTTATTTTGTTTTCTCAAAAACAATATGGAATACAATGGATTATCTGTCTATTTTATATTTTTATCAAACTTTTACGGATACCTATTATTCTTTTTTAGTTTTTATGACATCCGTTTTTTTTTTCAATAAAAGTTAGAAGAATCTTTATTCTTTCAAAATGATTAAAATATCAACAGTTGGTAAACTCTATTTTTACTATTTTTGGTTAATTATAATTATTAAAACTTTTTTAGTATAGCTATAACATACATTATGATGTATGAAATAAATATTTATTTATTCGTTTATTTTGACACCGTATGGCATTTAAATATTAGTGTAATTTATAACAACTAATATAGTTATACCTACTTAAAAACACAAGACACTAAACATAATAAAATTATTAAAGGTTAGGTTTAGGAAATATTAATTAAAAATCATAAAATTTAATAGTAACTAATGATATACTTAGAGAAAATTATTTTAAATAAATTATACATAATTTTTAGGGACGACTACGAATTGGTTCCCGGATTGTCTACAGGTAACATACAAGTTGGTTTCCGGGTTGTCTACAGGTAACATACGAATTGATTCCCGCAAGCTTTCATGATATTACAACAAAATAATATTATCTGCCCTATTTTATCAGTGCCCGATGTCCTTTTATGTTTTATGGGGACAGTACAACTTGCTCTTTCATATGATATCATTGAAAAAAACCACTGCTATAGCAGTAGTGTCAGTTTTCGGTCGGTTTTTACAGTACTACTATAGCAGTAATATTCAAAACTGTCCTCTATGTCCTCTAACATCACCAAACGAAAATACTGCTGAGCAGTACTTTTTCGTTACTGTCCGTCAATGTGTTAAAAACGATTTGCATTTTCTTTTTGTACAAGTCCAACGTTCCATATTTCCCGATAGTTCTTTTTGGAATCCATATTTGAAACCATTAATAACGAAGAATTTTTAATTTTTTTCACTTAATATCACTTCCATTTTAACGCACGCACTAGATTAGTTGTCACAAGACTGACGAAACATAATCAATTTATTAGATATAAAATTATATTTATAAACCTAATAAAATATTATAAGATTATCAACTGTACATATACGTATCTTGTAACAGTATAAACTAGACTGATAAACTGATAAGTAATTTTATTCAGGAACCAATTCGAACAATTGTATACTAGACAGTATTTTTTCGGGAACCAATTCGTACACATTTAATTGACCCGGGAACCAACTCCACGTTTGCCAATTTTTAGTATCTGGTAAAATGTAATTTAAATTTAATGAAGAGAGAAAAGATAGCAGACTAATGTAGAAATAACTTTTTATACGTGTATATAAACAGATAATAAGGTGGTTGGTATGCTACAAAAAAGTATAAAAATTTTAAAAGGTTGTTACAATAATAACCACCACCCTTGAATGGTAAAAAAAGGTAGTTAGCATATATCTAACATAATTTAACATAAATTTTGGACTCATTAAAAATATTTCTACATCCATTTTTTTATGTAAAAATGTAAATTTAAGATTAATTACAATTTTATTAGTTAAATTTAAATAATATTTAAACATTAATCAAATATATTCATATAAATCATATTATGTAATCATGGATAGCAAAGTTAAAGACGTATTATTATTATTATTTTTTTTTTTTTTTTTTTTTATAATAACCAATAACCATTGATATTTAATTTCATTAAATAATTTAACATGATGTTTTTAAACATTTTTATTATTATTAAAATATGATAAGTCTCTTAATCTAAATGAGTTAAATATCGTATGTTTATATTCATTACTATAAAAAGTTTAAGGTTTTATTAATTATACAGTTCTGAAAATTAAATTTAACTAACTATAATTTTTTGAGTGAATTAATCAATAAAAAAAAAATAAAACACAACAGTTCATTTTACCATGACAAAATATGTTTTAATTGTCCTACATATTCTTTTCATACGTTTATAACTTAAACATAAATTATTAAATGAGATAGAGCAAACAAAATATACCTAGGTATTCATAGATGAACATCTATGCTGTTTGTTAGTTCATAATACATACGTATACCAAGTAATTAAAAAATTTTAAATTATTATTCAATTTAAATTGAAGTAGATAAAACTGTTTCATATTATCACTTCTAAAATACTTATCATATAAATATTATAATTTTTATAATTTAAAATTCGTAATGAATAATAAGTAAATCAGTAATTATATATTTTTTCCTACGGTCTTACATTATGAAATTTTTCTATTTATTTAACAATAACGTATTAATTGTCTTTCATAACAAAATGTGTTTTTCAATACAAATTCTTTTTAAGCCTGAGGTTTTAAAGAAAAAAACATTGATTAACCCAGTATAAAATTAAATAAAACATTTCCTCATCACTCAAAATGGCTACAAACCACAACGGCTCTTTTATTGAAAATACTCCAATTAATTAGGTACTTAAATGACATTTTATACAACCTGTTTTAAAATTAAAATTAATTTATTTTTATTAAATAATAATTAATTCAAAAGTATAAAAATTCAATTTAGTTTTTAATTTCACTAACTTAAATTAATAAAACAAAATATTTTACTATATTTTATTAATGATAATAATTTAACTTTAATAGTATTTATTTAGATTCTCGGCAATGAATTTGTGTATTGGTTTTACAATGGTATATGTTCTTTTTTTTCTTTCTTTTTTATACCTGTCATCGTGTTTTGAACTAAAAATAATTCTTGTTCTGTAAATTTAATTTCTGACAATAAATTGGATCTAGTTGGTGTTATTGAGGGTCGAAAATAGAAAAATGTTAATACATTTTAAAATAATTGAAAAAAGTAGAAAATTTGGAATATATAATATATTTATAAGTCTTTATAAATTTCAATGTTAACTAAATTCAATAATACAATTATTATAAAAAATAAAATCTCTAAAAATTCTCTGCAGATTACATTTTATCTACATAAGTCAAGTTACTAGATTATAAACAAAGCTTCTATTTCTATATTTTTTTTTTTTTTAAGATGGATATGATTTTCTATTGGCTAAATTTTTAAAATTAATTTAAAAACAACTATTTAAAACATAATTTGTTGTTGATATAAATAAAAAAATTAATATCCACATAAATAATTTTTATAAGTTTCATAAATGTACTTTTGAATAATAATTTATTTCAAATCAAATTATACAGAAACTGCAAGTTCAATAATAGGTTATGTTACGTATTATAGTTAGATTAATCCAAAATTATATTAAATATAGTAAATGCTGAATTTTACCAAACAAATATTGGTAATTATGAATTATTATACTTTAATGTAAAGATTTATACGAAGAACAAATATAAGATTACAATAATAAGTACAACCAAAAGCCTTTAAGGGACGACCAAGTAGTGAGCACGCTCCTAAAGCTCATTTATTTTTAAATCATATTCTTTTAAAAGCAAATACATAAGTGAGGAAATAGTGGGCTATAAGTATAAGAGTTTAAAAGACCTAATAAAGTTTGCATCACAGCTTAGAAGCTCTTTAATCCTGGCTTCTTGGAGTGCTAATAAATTCATTTTCGCTATTTAAAAATTTATTTAAGTAGGTTTTACAGAGTTTACTTAAAATATAAAATACTATATTTTTTTTTTATTAAGGTATGTCTGTGGATTGTTTGTTTATTTATAGATAAACCAACAATTTAATTTATAAACTGATCAAATTAAACCTTTAACATAATATATAGATAAATTATTATTAACCCTAAATCCATTGCTAATAAATTATTTTCTTAATGTTGTATTTTACTGTTGAAAATTAAATTTTTATTAATTACAGCAGATAAGAAATCATATGTTAAATTTACGATTTACATTTTAAAAGAAATAAACTATTACATACTACATCACATATTCGCTGCAAGACACTTACCTCTTCAAAAGAGTATTCTAATACTGATGATTTCATGAACTTGTTGCTGGTTTGAGATAAAGAAGAATATGGATGGTATTGAGTTTCAGACAGATAGGTCTTAGATTTACGATTCCAATTATTGCAATCAGCATTACTGTTTTCAGTCATACTATATCCTGGTAATAAAAAAAAATTATAAATATATTAATTTAGTAAATACATTATACTTTAAAAAATTATTTTTTTTTACTTGGAGAACATCTACAAAGACCATGGCCAGAGCAATAGCTAGAACTAGAACTTCTTTTAGCCAAAGCAGCAAGTTGTTCTTCTTGGTCTACAGCTGCTTTGATGACCGCTTCAAGATGTTGGTCAGAGAGAGATCGAGTTTTACATTTACTCTTATACAATACTAATAGAACCATCATTAAAAAAAATCCTCCTAAAGTGGATGCAATTCTAATCTGAAAAATAAATATATAGTTGCATGTATATTATAAATGATCTAAAAAATAAACTCTTAATTATTATTTAATTATTTACTCCAGTCATCACATCGTAAGTATTATAAAATTCGGCTCTAATCATTTGTCTTTTAATCATGATGTCAGATTCAGTAGCATTTATGTAGTTATCGACGCTATCTCCCATCGCTTGGGGGCTGTACCCCAAACTGACATACAATTACTTTCATGTCATTCCTATTGACGTCTCTGTAAAAGAAAAATATACATATACATTAATAACATAAATAGGTAGATAAACATTTTTTATTCTGTTAAATAATTAAATAAACTAAAATTGTTTTATACCACATGAATGTAATAAAATGACACATTTATACCAAATAAAGAAAGAACAATATTATTGTTTGTAAATAAGTACTTTGGTGTGAGTATAGTTATTTTTAGCGATGTCATAAACTGATATTATATTTTTCATAAGACATAACAATAGACCTATATATAATATAATAATCAATACCAAAACCGTTCGCTTCAGTCATAAAATAAAACAATTGCATGGGTTGCCACTGTTTAAAAAAAACCCCATGGGATATTAATGCACCGCATGCATCCCACAAATGGAACTATATAGTGTCCTTTTATTGTTTAATTAATTAAACCATTATTTATCATTTGTACTATAAATAATTAATGTATTTATATAAGTTTTATATTTTGATCCTGAACGAAGCGATGAAAGTTTTTAATTCTGAAAAATATTTCAATAACAATCAATAAACTTGAAATGAATATTTTAAGACCACTGATAAAGAATTTATTTTTATGAATATTGTTTTAAATAAATATTGAATTTCAAATTTTTACAGTGATTATTCATGCAAGTTTATGAACTAATAGGCATTTTATATAAGATTGTAAGAAATTAATCTGCAGAGATTATATGTAATTTGCTATACCTCCATTTCCTTATTCCTTAAAATATATATATATACACATTGAATGTACCAGTTTTTTTTTTACACTCAATTTATAATAACTTAACTTCTTTGTGGTGAATGTATTATGAAAAATAAAGACATTTGAAAAAAATCCAATTATATCATATTTTTGTTTTATTTTTTTAACTTATATGTAACTAACCTAAAATATCATGACACTTATTTTTATTAATTTAATTTAGAGCTATGTTTGTAATACAACTAATTATTAATATGAAATATTTTATTTCATATTTTAGTATAAAATAATTTAATTTTCAAAATATGTTTAGTAAGTAATAAATAGTTAACTAGTCATGTTATTTAATTACTTAATTACTTTTTCATATTTTTTTTTTTTTTTTTTGCAATTCGTGAATTGTGCATAGGTTTGATATTATTGATATTATTTATCAACCATTTTAGATATTATCTCAAACAATTTTTATCATTACAAAAAAAGTAATTTGTAATAAAATGTAATTCAACATAGTTAAAACTCTGTCCGACTAAAACAATATTATACGCATTTTGGTTTTAGTATGATCCTATTTTTTGTTTTACTCATCAAATATAAGTTTAATTTAGTTTCTATAACTCAACGCTCGTGTCTTATTTTTATTCTGGATTCTTTTTAGATGTTGGTCAATATTTCTACCACATCAATATCGAAGCTCTAAAATTAAAAATAATAACACCATCATTATAAGCATACTTTAACTATAAGATACATAGACGAGTTAATTTTAAGAGTTATACATTATATAAATGTGTTAAATTAATGACTTATACGATCGTTACGTTAAAGACTAAGAATGTTGGACTGGAAACCGAAATGTCTACATCAATTTCCTAAGGCTAAGACTTATGAGTTTAGCCGAAGCTTACAATTTAAGTGATTGGTTGTTTGGCAAAACAAATTTTACTGAAGTGGCTGGTGTGGCGCGGTGGTTGGCCTCAATCACTATAATGTGCTCTGAGGTCAAGCATCGGCCAGCGTCGCTAATTCTCTGATGAGTGACCACCCGAGTTCTTAGTGACAAATCAATGGCACACACTTTTTCTATTCTATTAATCTAACTTTACACTATAAAAACCTACTGTTCCTATTCACAGCTAATGGTCTTAGTTATCGGGCTTTTAAAATAAGATCAATAAAAAAAAAAAAATTACTGGAGTTATCTAAACATCGTAAATTTGAACAGAACGTAATTTTTTTCGGTTTACCTGATTTCTTGGCACTAACCGGGTCGACTAGTGGTTTATGACTATAGTGCATCTTTATCACGTATTTTTATTTTACTATCTGTATCAATGGCCGCTGATAATAAATTATTCCTTGTCGGGAAAGGTTCTGCGAAAAACCTTAACGCAAAGTTATGTTTTATTCAAAATTAACGAGGATGATATATTCTAAAACTTCTTTGACTGTATGCAGAGGTCTTCATTCGTTTTGGAACTTTAGAAGAGCTAATTACGAAAGATTTATAAAATATTACTGGAGATAAAATTTTATTAATGTTAATGAATGACAAATTAGGAAACTTTCTATAGAAGTCTCTTTTAAGTATTATTCATCAACGAGTGCCGTTATGCACATTTCAAATATCAAAATTTCCACAGTCGGTTTTTAAAAGTTTAAAAGATCTTTTTTCAGAAAAGAAATAACTTCAAGAAATGTTTAATGGAAAAAAATGAAAACTAAAAAAAAAAAATCATGTTATTTACCCATGCCAGAAGTAAAAAATAAATAATTGACTAGACTAAAACTATGGGAAAAAATATCATGCTTAAAATAAAATATAAATGCACAGGTAATTAAATTAACGCAAAACAATGTAGAGAGATAACAATTTTTAACTTTTTTAAATGCTTGTAGTTTTTTAATAATGTTTTTATTTAGACTATTCAAAAACTTGTTATATATTTTAATTTACTTTTTACATATAAAATTTGCTTTTTGATTTTATAGCTTAATAAGAATATTACATATTATGTATGATATTATTTTTGATAAATTATAAGTATTTAATTAAAAATATCATTGTAGTAATAAATTAGAAAATACAATAAAAAATATATTATTATAATTTATACTGAATATTTATGTATATCGATAGTTCCCTTAAAAATTATATTACTAAAAAGTAAGAACCACTTTCCTTGAAGTCTGAAACACGACCAAGCTTGTATACTACAAATATTGTAGGTATCTATAAAAATTCACCGACAATCAATTTTTTAAATATTGAAACCACATTTAATAGCATTGTGCAAAGATTCCAATGTTTTTTGTTTTCACATCGGTTTGTGACGTTTATGTGGGGCAAATTTCTTGTACAAGTTTTATATTATCATTTATTATGTAACAAGTTATAATTTCTTTTTTTGACATCTTAAAAAGTAAATAATTTAATCCATGATTATGTACATATATTATGTGTTATATACATACAAATTGATAAAGGTATATAAAACAATATGTCTGCATTACTTAATGATGTAAAGGCATATCCTTGATTTCGACACCAATAAATTATGATCTGTAAGTAATATACATTTATCGTTTATCTATCGAATTGTTTTATTCAGGATAATATTCATACCATAAATTTATATTAGCTGTTACATTAACATATTTTAATTATAGTCTGAGTAATTACACGTTAAGATATTATACAGAATGTTCTTACGAAACACTGTATACGTAATATTGGTATAAATGTGTATTATTCTATTTATTATTATTATTTTTTTTTTTTTTTTTTTGTTACTCATTAAATAATCCGGCTACGAGAAATTAAAGATCTTTCTCAATATACCTATTCATTGAAGTATCGTATTTTTTTTTTTTTTATTTATTCAAAACAACGAAGAAAATATAGGCCATATCCAATGTATTTTCCGTAATATTGATCTTTCCGAGAAAAAGGCACTACTGCAAACGAACTTCATTCAAATACTGCGGGTACTTCATCACTTCCGCACTTAGCAACGCCATCGTGCCACCCGGCCAACACAATTATGTGACACACGAGCGCAATCTCGGTATCCGAAACAAGGCCTTCGGACGTTTAATGAACGTCAACTGACAAACATAATTTATCAGACTGAAATGTCGGATATTTAACGCCTAAATACATTATGAGGGTTAGGAATTTGGTGTAAATGGAATAATACTATATTAGCTGCTAAGTTATTTACATCCCATTTTATCATTTTTACCGGTAAAATTAAATGACATATTAAATTCAATAATAACATGGCATGCATTTTTAAACATTTTACATTAGGTACGTTTTATCCGGGAAATATTTTTATAGTAATAACATTAATATTGGGTTGTGAATGGGTTGGTAATAATGGTTTTCGACCACTTATGAGTATATACATGAATGGGAAATTATCAAAATAAAATATAATATACGAATATGATCATAAACTCAGTGATACTCGGTTTTATACCGTCATAATGGCGATATTATTATTGTTTGATTTTTCGGCTACTATAAGCACAAATGAAAAATTAATTATTATAAATACGTATGGCATTGTGAATTATGTCAAAACACAATAGCTATGTATTTTTGTATTTATTATACAAATTTGAAATGAAAATGCAAAAATCAAGGAACTCACCACTGTCACATAGTAAGTTTTGAGTGTATCTTGTCATTAAATCGGTTATTTTAATGATGGATATAATACATCTGAATTAAAATATACATCATTGATTCCTTGATTACACGGTTCTAAAATCACACAGTATTTCAGCTTTAATTTCTAATGATGGATGGACTATGTTAAACTAATTCTTTCCAAAACACGACATATATTATATAGTAAATATTATAATAAATTATTTTAATTAACTTATAACACAATATTGATAATCTATACTGTAGATAATGTTCTAATTTTAAAACGGTAAAAATTATTTAAAATAAGTCTAAATATTTATGAAATGTCACTGTGTATATAGAAAATAATAATATATACTTAATATTAAAAAAGTTTTAAGTCCCTACAGTGAAAGAATTCAAGTATTTGCGCTATGAAACAATCTTAGCGAACACAAAGAATTTTATTGAAAACCTTAAAAACTTAAAACATGTATCATACATTAATGCGACCTGCAGTGATTTATGGCTGTGGAACGTGGACTAACGTATGTAGTATGTAACCGTACGGTATATACAAAACAAAATAACCTAATGACTTTTGAAAGAAAAATGTTGGGGATATTACGTGTATACATAGATAAATCGT